GTCATAAATAAGAGTGCCAATTGTTAAATCAACAACAGGAGTCACTGGGTACATGCTCCCCACGTAGGATCTCTGTCCTTAATGTGTTCTACTATGAAACTTAAAAACAACACTACCAGTCGAACAATACCCTATACCTTGTGCGGTTGTGTGAGTACAGCCTGTTGAAATCCTTGCTTATTATATACTAAGTTGATCTTCAGTATATGAAGGTAACTGAAAATGAAACTCGATGAAGGGCAGGATGGGAGAGGGAGTGGGAGAGGGGAGGGCCATGGGAGGGAGGAGGTGGGGGGGAAGCCACAACAATACAAAAGTTGCACTTTGTAAATTCACATTAAATAAAAAAAAAAAACTATATAACAAACAATAAAAAAAGGAACTTAATACTTTACCCTTTTAGTATTTTTTATGTTCTACTTAAAACTATTGGTTGAACTCTGTAATTAATACACAATTACTCTTAGGTATTTAATTAATGCTATAAATAGTACTCAAATACTATTTTACACTTTGTGTTTCTGTGTGGGTGTGAACTGTTGAAATCTTTATTAATATATGCTAAATTGATCTTCTGTATATAAAGATACTTAAAAATTAATCTAGATGTGAATGGAAGGGGAGAGGGAGTGGGAGAGGGGAGTGTTGTGGGTGGGAGGGAAGTTGGGGGGGGTGAAGCTATTGTAATCCATAAGCTGTACTTTGGAAATTTATGTTCATTAAATAAAATTTAAAAAAAAGAAACTATGTGCTAATTTCAGGGAGTATATAAAATTAATAGGTACAGTCTCTTGCTTAAAAGATAGCAGTTTAGCTGGGCAGCCACTGTTCCCCACAGAGCGGCCAATATGAACTTAGGCGATAACACTGCTCAGCGGCCAAAGTCTCCCCGTGCCCCTCAGGAGCGATTACTGGAAGCAGCATGCTCCCAAGAGAAGTAAAGACCACGCCGATAGAAACTCAGCCTGCGTTCATCATCATTTGTTTCCTTCTGAATCACACAGCAGTGTGTGCAAACTCAAGCTTTTATATGAAAGCCACAAAATGTATTTTACTTTGAAAAACGCTTAGATTTTACGTAATTCAGTACCTTGTTGATAGATTTAGGAAAGTCTAATAGTAGGAAGACAGTAATTTTAGAAAGCATATCTCAGAACGTTACAAAACATTTAAACATGAATGATTTTGCAATGTGTTAAAAATAGACATTTAGATATATTATCTTATTTCACTCTCTTTTAAGCTCCAAATCAATCTTATTTTTATATTTGGATGATAAGTCTTTCCAAATTTCCCAGTTTTAAAAAGACTAACTTTTTTTTTTTTGATAACAGAAGGAAAAGATTTCAATAACAAAGCCAATCATATCTTAGCCTAGACTAAATAAATTTTTTGAAAAAAATGTTTTGGTGGGTTGTTCATGTATTTATCTATTTTTTTTTAAGATTTATTTATTTGGGGGGCAGCCCTGTGGTGCAGCAGGTTAACACCCTGGCCTGAAGTGCCGGCATCCCTTATGGGCGCCAGTTTGAGACTCAGCTGCTCCACTTCCTATCCAGCTTTCTATTATGGCCCAGGAAAGCAATAGAAGATGCCCCAAGTCCTTGGACCCCTGCACCCGTGTGGGAGACCCAGAAGAAGCTCCTGGCTCCTGACTTCGGATCTGCACAGCTCTGGCCATTGCGGCCATCTGGGGAGTGAACCAGTGGATGGAAGACCTCTCACTGTCTCTGCCTCTCCTCTCTCTGTGTAACTCTGCCTTACAAAAAAATAAATAAAAATCTCAAAAAAATTTATTTATTTGAAAGGCAGAGTTACAGAGAGGGAGGGAAGGATGGAGGGAGTGAGGGAGGAAGAGAGACAGAGAGTGAGTGAGCGAGCACGCACAAGCCTGGGATTCCGTTTGGGTCTACCACACGGTGGCAGGGGCCCCAAGTACTTGAGCCATCTGCTGCTGCTTTCTCATGTACAATAGCAGGGAGCTGGAAATAGAGTTCAAGATCTAACCCACTGTTTCAACATGAGCTATTACAATTCACCTTTCCTAGATTGACTTAAAATGCCATCTTTGTCTTATTCAACATTTGTAGCCTGTTATGCCTTTGTTGGAACCAAGGATCCCACTGAGGCTGAAGTTTTCTATATTAAAAAGTTTGTTTGAAATGCACCAGAAAAGCGCTTCTTTGCTGTCTTTACTTAAAGACCTTGGCCTCCAGACATCAACAAGAGTTATTTCAGAGAACTTTCCGCTACTCCCCTGAAAGATTTTATGTTTATTATTTTAAATCTACCTTGGGATAGCAGTTCTGCCAACAGTCTCAAGGCCCACTCCTTCAGAGTCAGGGTTCTGACTGGGTGGAAGGTTTCTTGCTCTCTCAGGAGGATGTGACTTCTCACATGGTGGACAGACACACATGGTCTCTTTCCAAATACGAGTGAGAATTCTGGCTTTTCGGCTGTGTGCATCCCTTCCCACCCTTGCCCACCTGAGCGACACAAGAACTATGAACTGGCTGAAAGCTCTGCCAAACACAAAGGCCTCCTTCTCCAAGACCAACAAGCATGACACAGAAGGGAAATGGGAAGGATCCCACTGTGTGCTATTATGCTCAGGGCCAGCCCAAGCCCAAGGCCTCACAGGCCCTAAGCGGCCAGGCACCATTTTCTCCCCTCTTCAAAGAAGGGCTGGGGTTGGAGGATATGACGAACCGAGGGAGAGGAGTAGAAATAGTCGCAGCTTTTCTAATACAGTAGCCCCTCAGATCCTCCTGCCTTTCCTCCTCTCCCTTGCAGGGACAAAGCTTTGTCCTTATAGTGGCCTCGCTAGCCTGGCTGCCTAAGAATTCCCTGGATGATAGCAAAGACCGTGTAAAGGCAGAGTGTAAACGTGTGGTCCGGTTCCAGAGGAATGGCTTCCAGGGCCAAGTCAACGGCGGCGAAGTGTGCAGAGGGACTGATGACAGGGGAGACACACATCGATCCCTCCAGCAGCTGCGTGAGGGGCTGATGTGAGAATGTCTGAAGAGCTGTATTTTGATTCAGAGCAAATATTTCTCAGTTGATTACCTTTCAGACCCAAGTCATGTTTCAGCGCTTCAACAACATACACCACACTTAAATATTTTTAGTTGAAAAATACTTGGGATTTTCTGCTCTCCAGCAATCTTACAGCAGTAACACTGAGAGCTAGAGGGAAACAAACAAAAAACTGGGGCCCCAGGAAACGGGAATAATAGATAACTTTCATATTTACATATGAAATGGATGATTAAGTACTTACATGGACATTTTCTACCCACTCTCTTCCCCTTTCCAAGACCAGGTGTAATTCAATGCTGCCCTTTGGGTGTCTGATACTTTCTCAAGACCTATGCTCTCCAGGGGCTGGCGCTGTGGCACAGCAGGTTAAAACCCTGGCCTGAAACGTTGGCATCCCATATGGGCTCCTCTTCCGATCCAGCTCTCTGCTATGGCCTGGGAAGCAGAAGATGGCCCAAGTCACTGGGCCCCTGCACCCACCTGGGAGACCAGGAAGAAGCTCCTGGCTCCTGGCTTCGGACCCGCACAGCTCCGACCATTACGGCCATCTAGGGGGTGAACCAGTGGATAGAAGACCTCTCTCTCTGTTTCTACCTCTCTCTGTAACTGTCTTTCAAATAAATAAAATAAATCTTAAAAAAAAAAAAAAAAAAAAGACCTATGCTCTCCCAAGTCATCCCATGCTTCAAAGCTATCTTTTGATTCTGAACTCCTGCTTCTTCAGATCTTCCAAACAAATCACTTTTTAATTCCTTTGCTGGGCCGGTGCTGTGGCGCAGCAGGTTATTGCCCTGGCCTGAAGCGTCGGCATCCCATATGGGCACTGGTTCTAGTCCCAGCTGCTCCACTTCTGATCCAGCCCTCTGCTATGGCCTGGGAAAGCAGTGGAAGATGGCCCAAGTCCTTGGGCCCCTGCACCCACGTGGGAGACCCAAAGAAGCTCCTGGCTTCAGATCGGTGCAGCTCCAGCAGTTGCGGCCAATTGGGGAGTGAACCATCAGATGGAAGACCTCTCTCTCTCTCTCTCTCTCTCTGCCTCTCCTCTGTGTAACTCTGACTTTCAAATAAATAAATAAATCTTTTAAAAAAAATTCCTTTGTTGGCCTTGCCCTCTCCAGTTTGTTCTGCATATGACGACAGAATGGTAATTATTCCATTTCTGAAAGGTTGCTAAACCACGTTCAAACATGTTCTTTCCTTCTAACACCACATTCCCATCAAGCGGCCAGTGGTGGAGCACTCTGAGATTACATAAAAGGGCCAAGGGGCTCGCAGAATCAAAGTGAAAACACCAGAGCAGCTGGCTTCCGCACAGCTCTGCCACTTGACATGTAAGGAACTTTGGGCTTGTGTGTATCATTCCGCCTACTTTTCAACCTAGACCACTATGGAAGGGCAGGAACCCCCAGGGGAAGGCGTGGATATCCTTTCTCACCACAACCCCATCTTGATGGTCCCAAATCGAAGATGTATACATTTCCAGGGTAACATAGCTCCTCTCTGTGAAATTAAGCCATTTATTATCTTAGTTTGCAAAAAGTAGATGAAATGTTAGCAGCACAAGTTGAACATATACTTTTATTATTTACAAAACACATGGGGATCATGAGCCATGTCACCAATGACAAAAGGGAAGAGTGGACACAAACGGGCTAAATGGTAACAAGGTACCCGTTTGTATGGGGTCCATTTATAATAAAACAGTTCTTTGCTAAAATCAGAAAAAGGTGCAAGTAGGTACACTGCTGTGTAAAAACACACCAGTTGCTTCTACCCGAAGGTGGAAAAGCATTGGTAGTGTACATAGAGTGTCCTAAATTAGACTAGACAGCGTATATGGATCCACAACACAAGCCCTGGTGCTAGGCAGGAAGCTGTGTGAGACTCGATGGCCTGTCTTGCTGAAGCAGCAAAGCCCCAGGACTAATTAACTTCCCTACCTTCCACAAGGCTTTGTTCAGGTGACTTTGGAAGGTGCTGTCAAAAACCTCAGCCATTTCTGATGCAAGTTCCCTCAGAACAGACACCGTGGACTCATCACGGGTATTCAGAATCCGCACAAAGAATTTATTCCACAATTCACCATTCTCAAGCCTAAAAATACAACAAACCATTTCCATCAAGATCAGGCATATGACAATTGGAATTCTGTTTGTGTTTAATCTTATGGCACATAGACAATTTAAGAGAATCCTAGGGTCAGAGAGAATTCAAACAGTCCTTTGAAAGCTCAGGGAGAAAACAACAAAAAGGACTACCAGAGTGGGAGAAGCCGCATTTCGGTGCACCGAAAGAGAAACAAACTCCGATCAGAATCAGTTCCCTCTGTGTCCTAAGACGTAGCATGTTTCTTTAGCAAGAAGAAGAGAGGTGAGCTGGTCTCCTCTCCAACTTGCCCAGCGTGGAGGCCACTGAAAAACTACAGCGGCCCACCCCCACCCCAGGAATTCCTCGTCTTCACCACTCTCTGAGAATCCTGAGCTTGACTGAGTAAACCCACTTACATCTTTGATGTCTGTGCCTCTGCTTACTACGAGCTTCTTTCTATCAAAGAAGATTCTAGTATTGCACAGGGCAGGGCTGTTGGGAACTCCAGCTTACCCCACCAGTTTCTGACTGTGGTCCACAAACACCTGGATCACAGCCATCAGAGGGGCCTGACTCGAGCCTCTACATCTTACACTGTGTTTAAAACCTATTTTTAAAATACACTTAAGAGACAAGCAAGAATGGCCAAGTTCTGAACTAAATAAAGAGAGAAGCACAATCCAATGCTTTGGAGGATAAAACAGGGAAGGAACATCAAATCTTCAACACTGAATCCTTTTTTTTTAATCAAAGGAATCATAAATTGGTAAGTTTATGGGAGAAAGTTATTAGCCAAGAGAAGCTGAACTGGAACATATAATACTGAGCAGGTTTATGAGCAGGCGTGAGGGAGTTCTGAGACCAAGCAGCTCTTATTAGGAGGTCATTTACTTCCGCAAGGGATTCAGCGCTCTGGTTTGAGTTGACATGCTCGTTAAATAGGTAATATCCTCAAATTAGCATGTAAGTTAGAAAGTTCTCTCTCTTCCAACAATGCTTATTCACTTGTGATAACAACACCTGTTGAAAAGGGGCTTGAGGCTAGCACCAGTTGTAGGAAATGATTCTCATTAAGTGCTTCTGCTAACACTCCACACTTAGGAGCTTCCACACGGTCAGTGTAGTATGTGTCAGTGTAGTATGTGTGGCAGCCTGGGGTCAGAGCAGCCCGAAGACTGCATTAGGTGTTTCCCGATACTCTTAGGAAACTGGGCTGAATTCTGGAATCACTGCCTTGGGATTAAGAAAAGGCAAGCTCCTAAAGCAGAGGAAGCACCCAAAACCTATCTGGACGGGCAAAGACCCTGAAGCCGCCAATACTTACTCCGAAACGTTTTGGCTAAGTTTCCAGAGGGACCCATCCCAGAAGACCTGTAGGTGCTCCTTGAACAACAGTAAATGTGCTAAATCTGCTAGACCCAACAGGTCCACCTGAAATCACAAAAAGCACCATCAGCTAAGTGACTCTGCTTATTTATGCAGGAGTTGAAAGGCGTTGCAGGGCTTCACTAACTTTATTTTGTGGCATATATTTGAGCAGACTCACACTAGGGGAGAAGCTCCCCAAGGAAGTGATCAGTATAGCCAACTCCAGGAATTACCCTTCGGAACAAAAGATGACCAAGTATCTGGACTATCAAATGTGTGTACCTCCTGAATTTGCACGGAACCAGCTGCACTCTACACGTGGTCCACACGAGCAGTTCAGGTTCGTCCTGCACACAGTCAGCAAACGCCTCATGTCTAACACTGAGTCAAGAGATTTTTGCATAAAATGCCACCATACAGAAAAACATATCCTAATCATCTTTTCCCACACATTTCATTTAATCCTCACAACAACCCTGATAGACAAAGAGCAGATAATGTTATCCCGTTACGGAGATCACAGAAAATGTCTTAAGAAAGACCACGTGGATGGGGACTGCTGGAAATGGCCCTGTCACTTAGGTGGCTGAGCAAGTTGTGTGTTTGGATGTGTATGTATACATTCTTCAGCGTTGTGACAGGAAAATAGTACATTTTGCTTGACAGGGTGATACAGTATTCAAAAACTAGGTCATCTATTCTAGGAGAGTCAATAGCAGCAAACACTAGCATTCATAGCTTATCTAGATAAAGAAGAGAAGCAGCAATCCTCTCCATATTTGCTCAGGCTTGCTTGACACTTACCTGGTAGGGAGAAGAACAGTTAGCCAGGATCTTTTGTCCTTCTAGGATCTGGACAGTCCGAAAGCCGCTGAGGGCAAAAACATCTAGCTGCACCTTAAGGTCAACACTGTAGGAAAAGTCCACTATCTTCAAAGCTTGACTGTTCTTATTGCAATCATAGGGATCGTGGATTCTGAGCCCAGATTAAAGAGAAAGAGAGAATAAAAACAGGCCATGAAGGAAGCTGCATAGCTAGTCTTTAGGGGAGAAAAAAAAAAAAAAAAAAAAAAGACTGCAGGTATGTCTTAGCTATGCCAACTGCTCCCTCCAGTGGTGAGTTATGAATTTGCACCCGTAAGAGCAGTGGTGGTGTGGCCACCACAGCACAGATTCTCATCTTCTATAGGGTGAGCCTGGAAGTAGAGTGCAGGTTTCTGAACCGGAATCTCCACAATGACACGTACAATAGCAAGGATTCATATACACTAACAAGATTTATGATGGGGAAAACGGAGTTTTACAGGTGCCATAGCCTATTACAAATGGGTGTTCCAAGTATCATTCAAAGTCTTCCTTCTAGAGTTTAATGAAAAATATGATACATAGGCTGTTTTGGCTAAAGTGCTACTTATACCATAAAACTTCCTGTTTTTATTAATCTGGGGTCATATTGTATCTTATGTGTAATTTCAATTCTTATTTCCTGAAATACTTTCCAACACTAATTCCTATCAACTAATTATATTGTCCTTGGGTTCACTCAGTCCTTGCAAGACATTTTTTTTTTACCAAGGAAACAAAGAAACCATTTATCTGAGAGAGAAGAATGGATTATTTCATGTCTCTTTCTCAATTAGTTCCTACAAATTCCTGGTATCAGTGTAGGTACTATATTCCTAAATATAGACTATCCTCAATCATATACCTCCCAAGCACAGAATGAACTATTTTACTATAAAATTTACAACTTTTTTAGTCGCCATAAAATGACATAATTTAAAAATACTTTTTAAATTTGAGAGAGGTCGGAAAAACTTTCTTACATTAATAAAAGGAAGCATGAGCTTCCTAATCAGCTCCTATTGACTCACTGTGTCCAGGGGCAAGACTTTCTACATTTTGGGATCTTATTTTCCTTATAACAACGAAAATAACAAAAAAGAGTAGAAACTGAAATAAGTGCTTTCAAAGGTTCTTTCTGGCTATTAATTCCTTGTGAATTTATATGAAATTTCCCTTCATATTTGAGAAGCAGTGACAAAGGTAAACATCCCTTTACTACTGAATCCTTTCCTGGAGTCCCTGGTGGCTGAGAGAAGGCCTATCTGAATAGGCAGGCCACAGATGCCCAACTTTAAAAAGGCTTAGGAAATACCTCTGCTTCCAATTCCCATAGCCCTGAGAATTCTAGCATCAGCCTCTGAGCCTTTGTGCTTAACGTGGGGGATTTGTTAGTGGTCACAAAGGCTGGAGGAATGTTCCTTGCCCTTAGTTAGGTGGGTGGATGGAGTTTTGAGGGAGCAGGGATATAAAACATCCTGTGAAGCTTGGAACAAGCCTGCACCAAGAATGGTCTCATCCTAAATGGCCTGGATGAGAAATGCTGTTACACTGTGTCTGGGGAAGCCTTTCTGACTGCCCCGAAGGAGAGAAGGTGGGATTTTGCTTCTTTTGGTTACCCTTGCTGAAATACATCAAGGGTGCTTTTCGTTTCCGTGCCCTATGATTTAGGGCAAGGGTGAGGACACTTATTTTCTGCAAAGAGCCATTTGGATATTTATAGCATCATTCGTGGGCCATACAAAATTATCAACTTAAAATTTAGCCTGTTCTAGATTTACTGAATTTCAAGTCCTGCCTGAGGTTGCCTGGCCTGGGCCAGACCAAATCAAATGACTCTGTAGGCCTTACAGGACCCGTCGTCCAGATGTTCCCCACCCCGATTTAGAGTCTAGTTCAGTCTCTTCTTTATTTTTTATTTTTTGACAGGCAGAGTGGACAGTGAGAGAGAGAGACAGAGAGAAAGGTCTTCCTTTGCCATTGATTCACCCTCCAATGGCCGCCGCGGCTGGCGCACTGTGGCCGGCGCACCACGCTGATCCGATGGCAGGAGCCAGGTGCTTCTCCTGGTCTCCCATGGGGTGCAGGGCCCAAGCACTTGGGCCAACTTCCACTGCACTCCCGGGCCATAGCAGAGAGCTGGCCTGGAAGAGGGGCAACCGGGACAGAATCTGGTACCCCAACCGGGACTAGAACCCGGTGTGCCAGTGCCGCAGGTGGAGGATTAGCCTATTGAGCCGCGGCGCCGGCCTCAGTCTCTTCTTAAAGATTAGGAAGCCAGAAGAAATGTAAAGGACTCCAGCTATCAGTGTGCACAAACAGCCTTAGGAAGAAAGTTAGAGAGAGACAAGCGGCCAACAAAGCATCTCGAAGCCAGGCTGCTCTCCTAAGATACCATGAAACCAATGATCACTGAAAGGGTAGGCTGCTTCTCTGATCCTTTTCCCAAAACCGAAATCTGGGCTATCTTTACTTCATCATGCCTCAATGTTTTCTGTATTTTTTGGGCCTTAGTATTTGCACTTCATTCCATACTTCCTGCTCTGTGCTCCCCTTGAACCTGATGGGCACATTGGATTTAATTGAAATACTAAGCCCCCTTTTGTGGCATAACTTGTATTTGCACTCTGGTTTTACCAACCTCTTTTGGCTATCACCTCAGTGTGGGCTAAAACTTTGGCCTAAGAAACCGAGCAGTGCTTCCATTTTGCTAACATCCTTGCGTGAATGGTACTGGTCCCACTCGCAGAATGAGCAAATCCCCTACTTCATGTGCCTCAAAATACTCACGTTTTAGATTGCTTGTTGAATGAATCATCACAATATAGACTGGACAATTTTTTTTTTCTGAATCCATATATTTCCTTAACGTGTGGTTTTCTTTGAATGCCTTTAACTATTTCCAATGTTTATTTATTTTTGACATTACATTTTAAATATAAGAGCAAACCTTCTCAACATAATGTGCTTGCTGACATGGCATTTATCAGAAGACATTAAAAACGGCAGGATGTCTCGAGAGAAAGCTGACAGAACTGCAGCAGAACGAAAAGGCCCAACCTGTTTCTGAGAACCAGACTCCTCGGACTCAAGTCGCCGTGGACTATTTCCGCTTTGTGCAGCTTCTCCACTATTGCCAAAAGGTTATACATAATCAGCACTGTTATTTCATGGGTAATAAATTCACTGTGTTGGAGAAGATCCTGGAAAAGAGGGACAGAAAATTCAATTTCCAAAGTGGGGTCAGCTGTCGTTCTCTCAGTACCTCAAGAACTGCTGCTTCCCTCTCTACTAGAATGTAGCCTGGGCTTCCAGCCTAGTTTTAACACCACTGTGCACTCTCTTAAGACTACTTGTAAGGATTCAATGAGACAATGAATGAAAAACACCAAGGATGACCCTGGCTCATATCAGATACCCTATAAATGCTTAAAATACCTTCATCCCAGCCATGTTAGAGAATTCATATTACTATCAAAATCTGCAGTAAAACTTTCTTAATTATTGTTTGTTTGAAAGAGTGTCAGAGAGAGAGAGAGAGAGAGAGATCAACCTTCCATCCACTGGTTCACTCCCCAGATGGCTACACAACCCATGAGACAGAAACCCCATCCTGATCTCCCATATGGGTGTCAGGGGTCCGAGCACTTGGATCATCATCCACTGCCTTCCCAGGAGCATTAGCAGAAAAGCTGGATCAGAAGGAAAGCAGCTGGGACTCGAATCAATGCTCTGATAGCTGAGGCTGGCGTCAAAAATGATGGTTCACCCTCTGTGCCACATTGCTGGCCCCCAAATCTTTCTTAAGAACATAACAAAGAATAAAATGACCTATTGTGTCTGGGTTTAAAACAGAACCCAGTGGGGATAACATAGAAAAAACGAGTGGCCATGAGCTGACCATTACCATAGCTGGAGGACTAGCTTCTGGGATTTCATTGTAAACTTCTGTCTACTCTTGTTTATGTTTGAAAAGTGTCAAAAAGTTAAGAGATCCTTCATCAAAATAAGTTGGGAGAAGACAATGATCAATGCTTTTATCTTGTAACTTAGAACTTCTATTTTTAGAAGACTGATGGGAATTTTGTACTGAATTCCTTTGCTAAATGGAGCCTGAATCCTTCTACCCAAGCCCTTTAAATTACATGTGTTTAGTATGATTGCAAACCTGCAGGGTGGAGCAGTTTATATATTGGTACCAAACAATATAGCCATCTTGGTATTGGTAACAGCTGCACAAATGATCACACTCCTCATTTAAACGTTCCTTTAACTTGAGGTTGATGTACAAGTCCCATGGGACAGGTTGAGCCGATACCTATAAGACATTACATTTTAAAAATAAGAGCAATTAGACCCATGGTTATGGTTACTGTTAGGGTCTAAAAAAAGCCCACCGCCCGAGGAACGACTTCAAGAGACTTTTTCTCTCATGCAACCAGCAAAGGGTTAAATTTATTGATCCAACATGTTGGGGCCCTCTGACAAGGACAGAGGAGCAGTGAGGAACTACAGCGTAGGGTTTATAAAGGCAAAAACCGCAAAATCAGGAGGAGGGAGAGAATACACGGTTGCTAAGCGGTTGCTAAAATCTTACAATCAGCAATTATGATTTTAAGACATAGACAAATCACATCTTCATTATTAGCCCAGGTAACCCAGGTGCAACCTTTCTACTTTTAAGCTTGAGCAATCATGCTAGGGGGTTTTTGTGCGTTGCCAAGGGTGATGTAGTGCACTGCTATTGTCCGACTATTTGAGATCATAGTTTCAGACCAGAGTCTCACGGGGCGGGGGGGGGGGGGGTGTTGCTTTCCCAGAATGCAGTCTCAAGTGCTCCAAAATGGAGTCCCTACTGTCAAGGTGCTACTCTACTCTGTCTTATTTTCACAGCTGCACCAGGAAAGTTCAAACCTGTAAGCTTAAGCTTAACTTTCTACACCCGCACATATACAATTTTTAACTCTTCAGTTACCAGATTGAAAACACATTTCTCCAGCCCCTCTGATAACCCATCAGAACAGTGAAAGGATATTTTAAAAGGCATAAATCTACAATAAAGGACATAATAACAACAAAATTCTGGAAGCTGGAAAGAAAGTAAGAGGTAACCATCTACTTAGAAGACACCAGGAAAGCTGGATTCTAGCAGCAGAAAACACTGAAGGGCAACCACATTTATATGCCAAGATCAGCTCCGGCCAGTGACTGGTGCTGCCGAGTACCTATGCAAGCAGGGCTGAGAACAGAGCTTGAACAGGAGGGGTTGGACCCGGTTTTAGAGGAAGGGAGACCCCAGACTTCCCTTCCTGTCCTGGAGCTCAACCCAGCAACTACTTTGCCCCATTCCTGCTGACCCAGCTCATTTCCTAGAGAGGATGATAGAGAAAGGCTCCGGAGCACAGGACACCAGGCACCACTGAAGCTGGGGATACGGCCAATGGGACAAAGTTCATGTCTCAGATGCTAAGAGGCACCTCCCAGCCCTCCCATTCTCCAGCCTCATTTCCTCACTCAGCTCTCAGAAAGCAAGCAGCCAGGCTTGGCTGCTCCAGGCAGGAAATTGGAAGTCCTCTTGGAGGGATCTGATCAGCTCAAGACAAAAATCATAAAGATCAGCGGTTTTCCAATAAACGTCCAGGCTCCATCATCCTACAGAGGTCGGCAGCCAGCAAGGGCCCCCCACGCACGCAGGCTCAGAGCTCTCCCTTAGCTTCCAGTGGCCCATATGTAAATACGCAGAGAGGCAGCCTCAATGTGAAAGTCAGAGGTCAAGACAGACAAAAACAAGCAAAAGTAAACAGATGATGTAGAGAGAAAAAACCCTCATAGCATCATTAATCTCTCAGAGAGATCACAAATGGTCTACCTCTGAAAGGAAGGGAATGCCACAAAGAAAATTCTGAGAAAAAGAGCTCTTGCAAATCAAATACAGATGAAAGAAATAAAAAGCCCAGTAAAAATACTGAAAATAAAGTTGATAAAATACAGTCAACCCTCTGTATCTGCAAGTTGAACCAAACCTCAGATTGAAAATATTTGAGGAAAAAAACTATGCCTGTGCTTAAAATGCACACTTTCCTTGTCATTATTTCCTAACCAATACGGTGTAACTACTTGCAAAGCAAACACATTGAATTTTGGTATGAGAAGGAATGTGGAGATGGTTTAAAGTATATCAGAGGTTGTGCATGGGTTATATACAAATACTGTGCCATATTATCTGAGAGATTTCAGCATTTGCAGACTTTGGAGGGTGGAGTAGGGATAGATTTGCACAACCAATCCTGCCTGGATACCTAGAGATGATTGCAAGTCAGATGCAAAAAGTCAGAGAGATAGAAACTAGGAGGCCAAAAGTAAGATTGTCAGAGGCACTATGTGGGAGACCCCTATCCCAGTAGAGGGCGTTACAGACAGAAAAAACAGAAGACCGAAAGGATCGAAGAAAATTTCTTAGAATTACAAGAGTTCCCAGATCAAAATGGCCGTGGGTGACAACAGATGTTACCAAAATAGGTAACTGATATTTCAGAATGCTGAGGACAAACATAAGATCCTCCAAGGATCCAAATAGTTTCGTACAAAGCTTCAAGACTCAGAACGGAAAACATCCCACGGGGCCAGTGCTGTGGCGTAGCAGGCTAAGCCTCCGCCTGCAGCACCGGCATTCCATATGGGCATGTGTGAGTCCTGGCTGATTCTCTTCCGATTCTGCTCTCTGCTTATGTGTTGGGAAAGCAGTGGAAGATGGCTCAAGTGCTTGAGCCCTTGCACCCACGTGGGAGACCTGGAAGAAGCTCCTGGCACCTGGCTTCAGATCGGCCCAACTCCGGCCATTGCAGCCATCTGGGGAGTGAACCAGTGGATGGATGACCTCTCTCTCTGTCTCTCCTTCTCTCTATCTGTAACTATACTTCTCAAATAAATAAAGAAAATCTTTAAAAAAAAAAAAAAAAACCTCTGTCTCTACTTCTGTCTGTAACTATACTCTCATATAAATAAAATCTTTGAAAAGACCTCTATCTCTCCCTGTCTGTAACTCTACCTCTCAAGCAAATAAATAAAAATCTTAAAAAAAATTCCAAAAGCAATATGGAAAGCCAAAAGATAATGGAATTCTTCAAAATTCTGAGAAAAAAAAGTTCAGAAATTTTTTAAAGATTTATTTATATATTTGAGAGGTAGAGTTACAGACAAAGAGAGGGAAAGACAGAGAGAGCGGTCTTCCATCTGCTGGCTCATTCCGCAAATGGCTGCAATGGCCGGAACTAGGTGGATCTGAAGCCAGGAGCTTCTTGCAGGTCTCCCACGTGGGTGCAGGGACCCAAGCATTTGAGCCACCTTCCACTGTTTTCCCAGGCCATCAGCAGGGAGCTGGATCAGAAGTGGAGCAGTCAAGACTCAAACCAGCATCCACATGGGATGCCGGCGCTACAGGCAGAGGCTTAACTGATTATGCCACAGTGCCAGCCCCCAGAATTCTTTTTTTCTTTTTTTATTAGACAGGCAGAGTTAGACAGTGAGAGAGACAGACAGAGAGAAAGGTCTTCCCTCCGTGGGTTCACTCCCCAAATGGCCTCCATGGCCGGCGCTGCACTGATCTCAAGCCAGGAGCCAGGTGTTTTTCCTGGTCTCCCATGTGGGTGCAGAAGCCCAAGCACCTGTGCCATCCTCCACTGCCTTCCCGGGCCACAGCAGAGAGCTGGATTGGAAGAGGAGCAACCGGGACTAGAACCTGGTGCCCATATGGGATGCCAGCGCCGCAAGCAGAGAATTAACCAAGTGAGCCACGGTGCCAGCCCCAGAATTCTTTGAGACAAATTATCATTAAGTAAAGATGCCGCTGCTCACTTGGCTAATCCTCTGCCTGTGGCACCTGCACACCGGATTCTCGTCCCGGTTGGGGTGCCAGATTCTGTCCTGGTTGCTCCTCTTCCAGTCCAGCTCTCTGCTGTGGCCCGGGAAGGCAGTGGAGGATGGCACAAGTGCTTGGGCTCCTGCTCGGACATGAGAAACAAGCAAAAGCATCCGGCTCCTGGATTGGCACCAGTGCCCTGCCGGACCTGGAGTCTGTTTGGGGAGTGAACAGAAGGAAGGACAAGATCTGTCTCTCTTGTCTGACTCTCTCACTCTACCTGTCAAAAAAAAAAAAAAAAACAATAAGAGGCAGAATGAGCAGTTTTCTGATACACAGTTTTTAATAAATGTATGTACCATTCGTAAGGAAGCCACTAAAAGATGTGTTTATTCAAAATATCAAGGATTAAACCAAGAAAGAAGAAAAAATGAGTTCCAAGAAACTACACATCCAACGGAAGAGAAAGGTAATACAAATACCCAGGATGAATGGAAATTTTCAGGTGATACTGAGTGTGGGGCAAGCCTGTATAACTTGTCCAGACTGGAGCAGGCCAGAGAGTTTCAGAAAAGATTTCCTCAAAAAGATAAAACTGAAAAAATACTCAGTAGGTTTGGATATATTGTGAGATTTATATAATAACCTCTCATTTAGAACATGTCTTCATCTACTTGAAAGGCACATGGCAGAGACAGGGGAAAAAAAAGATCTTCCATCTGCTGGTTCACTCCCCAAATGCCCACAACAGCCAGGGCAGGGTCAAGAAAAGCTGGGAGCAAGGACATCTATGTGGGTCGCCCATGTGGGTGGCAGAGACTCAAGCACTTGAGCCATCATCTGTTGCCTCACAGGATGAGCATTAGCAGGAAGCTGGATTTGAACTGCAGAGCAGCTGAGACTTAAATCAGACACTCCAGCATGGGATGCTGGCATCCCGAGCAGTGGCTCAACGTGCTGTACCATAACGCACGCTCCCTCTCAATTTGTATATGTAATCCTGGCTCATTATTAAGATGGACTGCATGACAGCTCACTGACTTTTCTATAAGGAACCTAATAAACTATTCAAAGATTTGATGGTACTATGGGGATAGATACTGCTCCAATCTGTATTTACAAATTAAAACTGCAAAGAATCAGTCCCACCTTTATTATGGTTAACTCTGCAGAGTTTCTTGGTGCCACCCAGAATAATTTATAATCTTCACACATTAGGTATTCTTGTTTAATGCAATAATCCTCGTTACCTGTTGAGAAGGGTTTATTCCATTTAAAAATCATCATGAACATAAACAGCCCTCAGCCTTTATCTCCTGGTTTAAGGGCTAAAGGCACTGCTATTAATTTGCCCATTAGTAGTATTTGAAATACTTTAAAATAATGTGCTAACAATTGGAAGAGGGGAAGACATAGTTACTACTCTACTGGGACATGAAATGATCAATATATTAATTTCTATGCTATTTCTTACAATGTAGACATTTTATAGTGCTAGAGTACAAATAATTACTTACTTGATAATGTCATCTCCAGAAGGACAGACATTCAGTGATACTTACCTAATTCAATTTCTTTCTCTATTTCTAAGTTAGGCATTGGTCGATCTTCTATGGAAAACTCTGCACAAGCACTTAACTCTGGCAGGCATTTTAGTAGTTGCGTGCGATACTGTGAACACCAGGGTGACTGTGTAGGATTTTCTGGTAAGGATGGGAGGAGTGGGGGAAGGATAGTTGAAAAAGCAACAACAAAAAAAAGATCAGCTAAAAAAACTAACACTTAGAGTGGATATTATAACCGAGAGGGGAAAAAGAAAAAAAGATTACACAATCAACACTGCTAATCTGACTACAGTCACTGATCTCAGGTCTTTATGAAACTGTGCTCAGTTAGTACTGGATTAGTCTGGATATTTCATAACTTAATGGCAACTTCTCTAGCAAAGAAAAACATCCAGCTCAGTCTGCTGAGGTGAGTAAGCGCTCACGAGGCACGGGGACAGGTGTCTGCGTGATCCTACCTGCATCGTTAGTAAGCTCCAGTTTCTCGGGGATTTGAAGGCATTTGATGGAAGAGGTGCTTGTAACCGAGGCAGAAGATCCAGAGAAGCCAGAGGAGTGCGTGGCTTCACGACTGTCTTCAATAATTGGGCTGAAAGAACCACAGAGGAGTCAGTTCTCATCAAGGCAATATGGACCAACTCAGCTGTTACAACTTTATAAATCTCTAATTTACAAACATTTTGTTGCACACTTATTTTTAAAATAAAATTTATCTTAAAATAATTAGGTTTTGTCCAGTTTTTGGATAAGTCTCTCTCTCTCTCTTTTTTTAAGATTTATCTATTTATTTGAAGGTCAGAGTTAGAGAGAGACAGAGAGTGGGATCTTTCTTCTGTTGGTTAACTCTCCAAATGGCCACAATAGTCGGACCTGGGCTGATCTGAAGCCAGGAGCCAAGAGCCAGGAGCTTTTTCTGGGTCCTCTATATCGGCGGCAGAGGCCCAAGGACTTAGGCCATTTATGCTGCTTTCCCAGGCAAATTAGCAGGGAGCTAGATGGGAAGTGAAACAGCCAGGACTTGAACCAGAGCCCATATAGGATGCTGACATGACTTTATCTACTACACCACAACACTGGCCCAGGTCACATATCATTAATGTATGCTACCAAATATGATTAAAATTCTATCAGGGAAAATGTTAGAAGATGCAGTTTCAAAAGTACAACTTGGGGGCCGGCACTGTGGCGCAGCGCGTTAATGCCCTGGCCTGAAGCGCTGGTATCCGTTATGGGCACTGGTTCGAGACCTGGCTACTTCTGATCTAGCTCTCTGCTATTGCCTGGGAAAGTAGTGGAAGATGGCCCAAGTGTTTGGGCACCTGCACTCACATGGGAAACCTGGAAGAAGCTCCTGGCTTCAGATCAGCCCAGCTCTGGCCATGTGGTCAATTGGGAATGGAAGACCTTTCTCTCTCTTTCTGCCTCTCCTCTTTCTGTGTAACTCCGACTTTCAAATAAATAAATCAATCTTAAAAAAAAAAAAAAAAAAAAAAAAGTACAAGCTGGGGGCCAGCGTTGTGCCACAGAAGGTTAAAGCCCCGACCTGCAGTGCAGGCATCCCATATGGGTGCTGGTTTGAGTCCCAGCTGCTCCACTCCTGATCCAGCTCTGCTATGGCCTGGGAAAGCAGTAAAAGATGGTCCAAGTACTTGGGCCCCTGCAAATATGTGTGAGACCCAGAAGAAGCTCCTGGCTCCTTGAAAAGCAAGGAGATACAGAGGGAGAGACACAGAGACAGGGTCGGGGGGTCACAATGAGGAGAGATTCTTCCTTCTGCTGGTGGACTCCCCAAGTGTCCAGAATAGCCAGGTTTGGGCCAGCTGAAATCAGGAGCCAACACTCCATCTGGGCCTCCCCTGTGGGTGGCAGGAGCGCTCAAGTACTTGAACCTTCATCCAGTATGTCCCAGATCCATTAGCAGGAAGTAGGATCAAAAGTGGAGGAGCCAGCACTCGAACCAGCACTCCAGCATGGGATGCAGGTGTCCCAAGTGGTGGCACCACGGCACTCAACCTCAACTTCTCAATCTCGATCACTATTTTTTTTTTTTTTAAATTTTATTTATTTGAGAGGTAGAGTTACAGACTGTGAGAAGGAGAAACAGAGAGAAAGGTCTTCCTTCCATTGGTTCACTCCCCAGATGGCTGCAACGGCTGGAGCTATGCCAATCTGAAGCCAGGAGCCAGGTACTTCTTCCTGGTCTCCCATGCGGGTGCAGGGTCCAAGGACTTGGGCCATCTTCTGCTGCTTTCCCAGGCCATAGCAGACAGCTGGATTGGAAGTGGAGCAGCCAGGACTCAAACCAGCACCCATATGGGATGCTGGCACTGCAGGTGGCAACTTTACCCGCTATGCCACAGTTCTGGCCCCTAAACTACCTGTCTTAAATACAGAAAGATCATAAGATCTAGTCACTGGCTCTCTCTGCCATTCTCTCATAGCCCTAGTTAATTTCTACCTCTCTATCAGGAGATAATTTTTCATTAATATATCTCTAATTTCCTATTTAAATCAAGATCAGCTACTCTACCACTTTTATTTTTATAAAGTTACTTAGTTTTCTTATTGCTTTTTTATTTTTACAAATTTATTCATTATTGAAATAAAAAGCAGATAGAGAAAGAGACAGAGAGAGATCTTCCATCTACTGGTTCACTCTCCAAATGTCTGCAACAGCCAGGCCTGGAAAAGGCCAAAGCCAAGATCCTGAAGCTCAATTCAGGTCTCCCCCATGGGTGGCAGGGCCCTGAGTACTTCAAGTATCGCCCGCTCTCTCCCAGGATGTGCATTAGTAGGAAGTTGGAATCGGAAGCAGAGTTGGGACTCATACCCAGGCACTCAGACACGGATGTGGATGTCCCAAGTAATATCTTAAGCACTGCGCCAAATGCCTACTCCTATCTTATCTTAAACTCTGTTATTACAGAAAAAATTAAGCACCTCCTCTTTCCCAGTCATGTATATTTGGCTGAATTTCCTCAAAGATATTATAAGTGGATGCTGTTGGGCACCCACATCCTATAAGGGAATGCCTACATTTGAATTCAGGCTCTACATCCAATTCCTGCTAATGTGCACCCTGGGAGGCAGCACACAATGGCTCAAACAGCAGGCACCCTGTCACTCATGTGGGAGACCTGTATTGAGATCCAGGCTGCTGCTTTTGGCCTAGCCCGACCTTGGCTGTTGCAGGTATTTGAAGAGTAAGCCAGCATACAGGATCTCTCTCTCTGCTGGTCTGTCTGTGGCTCTTGCTCTCTCTCTCTGCCTTTCAAATAAATAAATAACTTAAAAGAGTTATCATAATCCTTTTGGACCTTGTAGTCTCTTAACCATCAAAACCCACTTCTGCTAACGCTTGTATCTAAACCAATTACTAAACCCATTGACACATTATGTAAGGCAGCCCTATTCTCACATATAGCACTTAGCCCAGTCACTGGCAGATAGTTAGAATGTGACAACTGACTACTACAATGACAAACACACACAGAATAAGTGCAAACAACCTGGCTAGTGACACCTGTCACTGCTGATCACCTGAGCTTCTTGATGCTGAGAGTCTGATTGTAGAGAGTGCCACAGGCAGTGTGCTGGTCCTCAGGGGTCTTCCCATCTAGATCCTCCTCTTGCAGTAGTGTCTCAGGATCAGAGGGGAGATCCTTCAAGGGCATTATCTCATGAAAGGGAGTGGATGCAAAGCGAGCAGCTCTGGCAAAGTCACAAGTATCTTCTGGGTTGGGACAAAGAGTTACATTCCTGAAACCTGTGATAATGGCATCCTCACTCAGGGGCTCGATTCCTGTAAATTCATCCTGAGATAAAAATCATGTACAGTTCAGATAAAACATTTCAATGAACATACGAATGGCCTGTCTCTTTTTAATTTATAGACTCAGGGTACATAAGCAATGCCTCTTAATCTATAAAAAAAGACAATTTTAAGAGGCACATAATAGTATTTTTAGGGAAAAGGTTTTGTGTCATGGCCGTAGCTGCGCCGATCCAAAGCCAGGAGCCAGGAGCTTCTTCTGGGTCTCCCACATGGGTGCAGGGGCCCAAGGACTTGGGTCATCTTCTGCTGCTTTCCCAGGACATAGCAGAGCTGAATCAGAAGTGGAGCAGCCAGGACCAGAACCAGTGCCAATATAGGATGCTTGGCACTACAGGTGGCAGCCCTACCCATTACGCCACAGCACTGGCCCCAATCCTCCTAGTTTTTAAGTATTCTTCCTCTATGCTGCTTAATGTTACTTAATTTTATTTTTTAAAGTTTATTCATTATTATGGTAGAAAATATAAATCATAAAGAAAAAAATCATTTGAAATACTATTACCCAACCTAACACTGTTGTTCGACATTTAAAACATGCCTTCGTCTTAAAAGTAATATACATACATGGTTTTAAAAAGTCAACCAGTTTAAAAGGCTATACAATGAAAGGTCTCCCTCCTACATACCTCCCAGCTCCAACTTATTCTGACCTCCCAGAGACAACAGCTGTCACCATACATATCTAGGAGAATGTATGTTAAGCATATTCTATGCATTTAAAAAGGAGTTCTAAAATAAAATAAATGAAATTATGGTAATGTATATATCTGCAGTATAAAAAAGTGCATATTTCATTTAACCATCATGGATATAGATATTCATTTTAAATCATTACCATTTTGACATATAATTTGAATTTCTGACTCAGTATTAATAAGTAGAGGTGGGAGATACATCTCGAAGAAACAAATATAGCTAAAAAATAAGATTAAAGTATCTATAGTTAAATATGTATTCTATGCAACTACTACTTAAGGCCTTGTTGGTTTAGACATTTTAAATTAATTTTTTAGGGGATAAAAATTCTGCTAATTACCTATTAATCAAATTCAACTGAAAGGTTATAGGACAAAAAAACTAGATTAAGACTGTCCCGACAAAAACAAATAAAGACTGTCCCTGAACAGCTGAACCTAGAACCACAGTGTCGAAATCCAGTCTTCCCAAGGTTCATGTTCGCTGGTGTAGTCTCCAAAACAGAACATAACTAATTACTCTTTTATATCATTGTCCTTTCATAGTAGCCAGGGATTAACTGTCTCAGAGTTACCTGGGAAAGTATTTAAAACAAACAAATGTGCAGTAGTTTGGCCTAGAAGTCCAGCCACTGGTATGACCATGTTCCCTGCTGGAGTACTTGGATGTAAGTCCAGGTTCTAGCTCCTGACTCTGGTTTCCTATTAATGCAGACCCTGGGATGCAGCAATAACAGCTCAAGTGATTGAGTCTCACCCATGTGGCAGACCTGGGCTGAGTTCCTAGTTCCCAGCTGTGGTCCAGCCCAGACCATGGCAGACATCTGGGGAGTAAACTAGCAGATAGGAACTCTCTCAAAAAGGATTAAAAACAAAACCATAACCAAAAACTGCCAAAACTCTTAGACTTCTTTCCTATAAATTCTAATTATCTATAGCTGGAATGGAGCCTTGACCACCCTCTATCAAAAATGCTTCCTGGGTTCTTCTGGGTCATGGGGAATATTCTACATTTGATCTGCGTAGAAACTGCATGGATATTTACATGTGTAAAACTCCATCTAAATGAACAATTAGGGCCACTGCTGCAGCACAACAGGTTAAGCCGCTGTCTGCTCCACTTCTGATCCAGCTCCCTGCTAATGTGCCTGGGAAAGCAGAGAAAGATGGCTCAAGTCCTTGGGCCCATGCAACCATGTGGAGATCTGAAAGAAACTAATGGCTCCTGGCTTTGGCTCAACAAAGCCCTGGTCATTGTGGCCATTTGGGGAGTAAATTAGCGGATGGAAAACCTCTATACCTCCCCCTCCCTCCCTCCTTCTCGTAACTCTGCCTTTCAAATAAATAAATAAATCTTAAATAAATGGACAATTAATATATATTTGTAAAGATTTATTTATTTGAAAGGCAGAGAGGGAAAGATAAGAGAGCACACTTCCATTTGCTGGTTCACTTAACAATTTCCCACAAGGACTTGCCAGGACAGAAGCTATGAGCCAGGGGTGGCAGGAGCCCAACTATTTGAGCCATCACTCCTGCCTGCCAAGGTCTGCATTAGCAGGAAGGTGGAGGCAGGAGCCACAGCTGGGTATTTTTTTTTTTTTTTTAAGATTTATTTATTTACTTGAAAATCAGAGTTAAACAGAGAGAGGAGAAGCAGAGAGAGAGTTCCTCCATCCACTGGTTCACTCCCCAGATAGCCGCAATGGCCAGAGCTGTGCCAATCCGAAGCCAGGAGCCAGGAGCCTCCTCCGGGTCTCTAGGCCCAAGGGCCCAGGCATAGTCCACTGCCTTCCCAGGCCATAGCAGAGGGCTGGATCAGAAGTGGAGCAGCCAGGACCTGAACCAGAGCCCATATGGGATGCTGGCACTGCAGACGGCAGCCTCACGTGCTACGCCACAGTGCCAGCCCCCACAGCTGGGTATTGAACCCAGGTACTCTGATGTGGGACACAGGTGTCTTAACTGCTAGGCTAAACACCCACAAAAAAATTTGCCCTTTTAAAATATACATTTTAAGGCTGGCGCTGTGGTGCAGCAGGTTAAAGCCCTGGCCTGAAGCGCCGGTATCCCATATGAGCGCCGTTCTAGTTCTGGCTGCTCCTATTCCCATCCAGCTCTCTGCTATGGTCTGGGAAAGTAGTAGAAGATGGCCCAAATCCTTGGACTCCTGCACCCACATGGGAGACCCAGAAGAAGCTCCTGACTCCTGGCTTCGGATTGGCACAACTCCAGACATTGCAGCTATCTGGGGAGTGAACCAGTAGATGGAAGACCTCTCTGTCTTTACCTCTCTCTGTAACTCTTTCAAAATAAAAATAATAATAAAAAGCCCCCTCTAAAAAAAATATATAATATATATATATTATATATATACACACATACACATTTTAGTGGTTTTTGGTATATACACAAGGTTGTACAATCATCATCACTATGCGACTCCTAAAACAAACTCCATACCTAATAGCAGACACTTTCCATCACCCTCTCGCTACTCCCCTGAAAATTCCCAATCTACTTTGGTCTAGCCTGGACACTTCATGTCAATGGAATCAGGTTATCTGGCTTCATGCACCTGGCATAATGTTTTCAAGGTTCACCCATGATGTGACTTGTTTCAGTGTTTCATTCCCTTCTGCTAAGTAACATTCCACTAAATGGATATAAGTTTATCCATTCATCAGCTGATGGACATTTGGGTTGTTTCCAATGCAAGAAAAATGTTCTAAGAACATTTGTGTCCAGGTTTTTGTGAGCAGTTTTAATTCTCTTGGGTATATATCCATGAGGGGAATTGATGAGTCATGTAGTAACTCACTGCATAACATTTTGAGGAACTGCCAAAACTATTTTACAAGCAATTGTACCACTTTACGTTCCCACCAGCAATGTATAAAGGTTCTTATTTCTCTATACCTTCATCAACACTTGTTATTGTCTGTCTTTTGGATTATACCATCCTAGTGGGCATGAAGTGATATTTCACTGTGGTTTCAATTTGCATTTCCCTGGTGACTAATGATACTAGGTATCTTTTCTTGTGCTAAGGTCAAGCCAATGGTTTTAATTTTAACCCTAAACTTCTGTGAGATGTAAATAAAACAAGCTGGGGCCAGTGGTGTGGAGCCATGGGTTAAGCCGCAGCCTGTGACATCACCATCCCATTGGAGCACCAGCTGGAGTCCTGGCTGCTCCACTTCTGATCCAGTTTCCTACTAATGCACCTAAGAAAGTAGTAGAAGATGGTCCAAGCGCTTGGGCCCCTGCCACTCATGTGGAAGACCCAGAAAGAGTTTTGGGCTCATGGTTTCAGCCTAATCTAATCTATTGTGGCCATTTGAGGAGTGACCCAAAGTATGGAAGCTCTAATTTTCCCTTTCAAATAAATAAAATAAATCTTAAAAAAAAATAAAGCAATCCACTAGCCCATTGATATTAACTTAGGGATACAGCTCCTTACACAAACATCTGGAGATACATCTTCATTTGAGGTGATGCTTTCTGAAGTTTTGAGAACTGCAAGGGGTCTTCGTTGGGCTAAAACTCTTGGGGGATCTGCACAAGGACTGAAAATAAAAAAAAAAAAACTCCATTTTACCATTGTTCTGTTAACAGACACAACAGTAATCCCCTAATTCATTCTCATTTATAATATAAGACATTTTTAAAAAACAAACCTTTTATCCTTTTTTTCTGAAAGAAGAAACTCATCAAAAATGGAGAATGGTGTACTGGAATCTACAGAAAAAGAGACTATATATAAATGGAGACAAGCAAATGTTTTATTATTCAAGACAACTAAATAAATTACGTAATATTTTGTGTTGCTTGATAGTAGAAAATTTTTTTAAATACTGAAAAACATCAAACATAAAATAGAAATCACATAATTATGTAACAAAAGATACAAACATGGATGCTGTTATTTCACTTACATCTCCCAGCAAATCTAACCCAAAAGTTTATCCTATCACAAATCATGTACTTATTCCAAATTCCATTACTCAAAGATATGATAAAATCCTAGAGCCTTCTCTGCCATTTTCAACCTCTACTATAGTTAAGAAGAAAACTTGCCATTAGTTACAATATACATTTGTCATCAGGAAGTTTGCCATAAGGCTGTCAAATAAAACTCACCTTTAGCATGAGGCTGTTCCTGCCAAATGTTTTCTGCAAGTGAAGTTTGCCTGTAAAGAAAACATGGTATTGAGTCAGTAGATGGAAGCTCTCTCTCTCTCTCTGCCTCTCTGTTGCTCTGCCTTGCAAATAAATAAACAAACCTTAAAATAAGGAGTGGGGCTGGCCGGCGCCGTGGCTCAATAGGCTAATCCTCCACCTTGCGGCGCCGGCACACCGGGTTCTAGTCCCGGTTAGGGCGCCGGATTCTGTCCCGGTTGCCCCTCTTCCAGGCCAGCTCTCTGCTATGGCCAGGGAGTGCAGTGGAGGATGGCCCAGGTGCTTGGGCCCTGCACCCCATGGGAGACCAGGAAAAGCACCTGGCTCCTGCCATCGGATCAGCGCGGTGCGCCGGCTGCAGCGGCGGCCATTGGAGGGTGAACCAACGGCAAAAGGAAGACCTTTCTCTCTCTGTCTCTCTCTCTCACTGTCCACTCTGCCTGTCAAAAAAAAAAAAAAAAAAAAAAAAAAAAAAAAATAAGGAGTGGGGCCAATGTTGTGGCGCAGTAGGTTAAGCCACTATCTGTGATGCCAACTTCCCACCATCCCATATAAGCTAGGGTTCAAGTCCTGGCCACTCCACTCCCAATCCAGTTCCCTGGTAATGTGACAGGGAAAGTAGAACATGACCTGAGTGCTTTGGTCCCTGCCACCCATGGTTGGAGTTCCAGTCTCCTGGTTTCAGCCTAACCCAGCTCTAGCTACTGCAGCCATTTCCGGGAGTGACTCAGTGAATGGAACTTTTTCTTTCTGTCTCCCTCTCTTTCTCTGTAACTCTGCCTTTCAAGTAAATAAATCTTTTAAAAAGGAGAAATATAGCAGTCATCTCCTGGTATGATGGGTCACTTTATTCTAGGTCTCCCACATGGGTACAGGGGTCCAAGCACTTGGGCTATCTTTTACTGTTTCCTAGAACATAGAGAGCTGGATCGAGAGAAGAGCAGCCGATGCTATAGAATAGTGGGTAAAGCTGCCACCTGCAGTGCCAGCATCCCATATGGGCGCCAGTTCAAGTTCCGGCTGCTACGCTTCCCACCCAGCTCTCTGCTATAGCTGGGAAAGAGTAAATGGGAGACCTGGAAAAAAACCTCCTCGCTCCTGGCTTCATTCAGATTGCCGCAGCTCTGGCCTTTGCAGCCAATTGGTGAGTGAATCAGCAAATGGAAGACTTCTCTGTCTCTGCCTCTGCCTCTCTTTCAAATAAATAAATAAATCTTTTGGAACCAGTGCTGAGGCGTAGCGGGTTAACGCCCTGGCCTGCAGTGCCAGCACCCCATAGGGGCGCCTGTTCAAGACCTGGCTGTTTCATTTCTGATCCAGCTCTCTGCTATGGCCTGGGAAAGCAGAAGCTGGCCCAAATCCTTGGGCCCTGCACCCACATGGGAGACCTGGAAGATCCTGGCTCCTGATTGGTGCAGCTCCGGCCATTGCAGACAATTGGGGAGTGAACCCTCGGATGCAAGACCTCTCTCTCTCTCTCTCTGCCTCTCCTTCTCTCTTTGTGTAACTCTGACTTTCAAATAAATAAATAAATCTTTTTATTTATTTATTTATTTATTTTTTGACAGGCAGAGTGGACAGTGAGAGAGAGAGACAGAGAGAAAGGTCTTCCTTTTTCTGTTGGTTCACCACCCAATGGCCGCTGAGGCCGGCATACCGCGTTGATCCAAAGCCAGGAGCCAGGTGCTTCTCCTGGTCTCCCATGCAGGTACAGGGCCCAAGCACTTGGGCCATCCTCCACTGCACTCCCGGGCCACAGCAGAGCTGGCCTGGAAGAGGGGCAACCGGGACAGAATCCGGCACCCTGACTGGGACTAGAACCTGGGGAGTCGGCGCCGCAGGCCGAGGATCAGCCTGTTGAGCCATGGCGCCAGCCTCAAATAAATAAATAAATCTAAAAAAAAAAAGAGAGAGAGAGAGAGAGAGGAGAGGCAGGGATATGAAATATCACCCATAGGGGATACTGGTGCTGCAGACAGAGGCTTAGCCTACTATGCCACAGAGCCAGCCCCGAAATGGGTCATTTATTTCTTAAAACATTATTTATATCTGTTTCTATTAGAAACATTTTTTTTTTTATGGGAAAAAGTTAGCATTGTGTCCTACCTTATCAGCATCAATGCTTTCATTGTGACAGACTTAAAAAAATCATGTCTCAATAAAGCAAATAAAAGCAAAACAAAACAAAAAAAGAGAAGAAAAAGCAAAAAATCAATCATTCAATCATGTCTCAATGCTGTAAATGAAGTCTCCTTCACATCACCTGAGAGACAGAGGCTGGTTCTAAATGCTTTGCCATCGGCCCTGCCCCTTCCACCGGTGTGGTCTTACCTGACACAAGAGTTTCCTGGACAAACAGATCTGGGGAGAGCTGTTCCTTGTGTTTCCTGAGACTCGGAAGCAATTAGTGGCTTAGCTGTCTCTGTTGTAGGCGCCTTCTCTTCTTGCTGGTTTGTGTTAAATAAACAAAATCAGTGTCTCTCTCATGCAGAAAATGCTAGCTATTTTTTAAGTTCTAGCTCCAATATTAGCTTTACTGTGCTCTTCTAGATATCCACTAACCATAAAACATCTGTTCTTGCAAGGACCACAAAAGTCTAACAATTATGTTCCTAGACTGAGCTAGTATTGTTGTACTCAGCTAAGCAGGGCCAAGCAGACACTGAATTTCTTTAGTTAACTCCATTTTAATGGAACATGACTAGAATAAAAAGCTAAAGTTAGAATTAACAAAACAATGCTTTAGCATATAATTAAGACATCAATATGTTGCATCACTAACTTCACATTCCACAGATTCCATTTGAAGTCACCTTTTAAATTACTTTCCTGCTATTAATAGCTAAGAAACTACCAGAAACTCTGAACAGAGGCTGAGAGGACTTTTATACTGTTAATATTTGTTTCAGTGAGTGTTAGTTTCATATAGCAAAAAAGGAAAAATTACCTGATCACCTGCTCTTTCTTGTTGAGTAGTCTGGATTTCTTTTAGCTTCTTCTCCATCTCTTCGATCTGTTTCTGCATCTCTGCTCTTTTTTCTGCACTGGTCAAGAGCTCAGCTAGAAACAATTTAGTCAGCGGAGGTGTTACGCCTCATAGCAGTTTATTCTGACCAAAACTTTCTTTGGGCTCATGCCCCCTAACCTACATGTTAATAATATGGATGAAAAAGATTTAAGTGCAGCAGGGTCCTCATGAGGTCTAGGCCTATACTCTTCTCTTTATTTAGCCATAAGAAACATAATACAAACCGTGTGCCAAGCAAACTCTGAGCACTCAGGTTTCAGTAGTGCATAATATAAGTCCTTGGGCATGTGATGCCACCATACACATTTGAAGGAAACAACATACACACAAATTAACAAGCAAATCAGTGTTAAGAGAAAATCAAATGTTAGAATGTGTGACACAGGGTGGAGAACAACAGGCCTGTGGGCCCTATAACACGTGTGAAATCATTTGGTCTGGTCCTGCCAAGACAACTGCAGGCAAGACTCAAAATTCTATACATCTATAGTAGGCTACTTTTAGTTGATAATTTTTGTATGGCCCATGAATGATGTTATAAAAAAATCTAAATGGCATTTGGCAGAAAAAAGGTTCCCCACTGCTGGAATGGACGGAAGTCAGTGGCTACTTAAGACAGTAATCATGGAAGATCATTCTGATACATGGACTTTATAAAGCTATAACCTGAATGACAAGGGGTTAGTCATACAAAGATCTGGGTGGATTCTAGGCCAATGGACTAGCTGGCACAAAGCCTTAAGACCCAAATTGAGATCACTGTGTTTGAGAATCAGAAAGAAGGCCACCAGAGTGGCTGCAGCACAGTAAAAGGGAAAACATTAACAGGTAGGGTTGGGGAGGTAGTCAGAGGTTAAGTCATATGGAGTTTTGAAGGTTAAAGAATGCATCCTACATTCTAAGACATTGTTTTTATTTGAAAGGGAGAGAGAGAGAGAGAAACAGAGACAAGACAGAGAGATATTCCATCTGGCAGTTCACTCCCCAAATGCCCACAATAGTTAGGGCTGGGTCACCCAAGATAGATATTGAGCTATCATCTGCTGTCTCCTAGTAAGGTGTGCATTACTAGGAAGCTGGAATCAGAAGCAGAACTGGGACTTGAACCTGGGCATTCTTTTTTTTTTTTTTTAAAGCGAAATTTGGAGTTTAATTAAAATCAGAACAGGGACACATTCAACAAACAAAAAAAAAAAAATACTTTTCTGATTATCGGTTTTTGAGAGTCAAAGCATCCCCCAAACATTGGAGATCCAGCTTATTCCTGAGACATCAACCATCACAAAAGGTTTTCACTCTTTGAGCTATTCACATTTTGTAGCAGAAAACAGAACAAAGTTCCACAGACATCTCTCCTCTCTTCTTCCTACAATGTGTTCACAAACAGGGGCGTTGATAGTTCCAAAGATAAACAGCTTTCTTTCTTAGCTGATCAGGAGTAGCCCTGCTCTCACCCTGGAGTCTGATTGTTGCCAATTTCCAGGAAGGACACGGTGGCTCCTTTACTTACGGATGCATTCATCTATGAGGGGAGTCCCGCTCCTGGGATTACTGTGCCAGTCCACAGCCCCAGGACAGGCAGGAGGCAAGGAGGGTGAATGAGAAAGCACAGGGCCAGCAGAAAGAATGGGTGGGTTTCCTGAACAACCCACAGCAAGGCAGAATGATCCATAACCTGGGCATTCTAATATGAAATGCAAGTGTCTCAAGTAGTGTCTTCACTGCTATGCCAAATTCTTGTCCCACGGCTATGAACAAAATAGATTGCAGTAGGGCAAGAATGAGGGCCGAAGGTTAGTTACAGTAGTCCCAGCTAAAAGACTGTCTTGGATTAAGATTATATTGGGTGTTTTTGTCCATTCAGGTTGCTATAACAAAACAGCCTTACTGGGGTGGTTTATAGAAAGCAGAAATTTATTTCTCATCTTCCTGGAGGCCAGAAAGTCCTCATCAAAGTGCTGACACATTTGGTGTCTGTAGAGGGCCCACTCTCTGGTTTCTCATAGATGGCACCTCCTCACTATGCCCTCATGGTGGAAGAGACCACGGTCTCTTTGGGCCTCTTTCACAAGGGCACTGATCCCATTTGTGTGGATTCTGCATCCATGACCTAATCACCCCCAAAGTTTCCATTCCCTAACACCATTATCTTGAGAATTAGGATTTCAACACATGAACTTGGGAGGTGTGGAAAGACACAAACAGTGGCAATAGAGATAAAAGGAAGATTTGGGAAATATTTGTTATAGACTTGATAAGCTTATTCATTAGGTGATAATGATGGAAAAGCGATTAGGTGCCAGTGCTGTGGTGTAGCAGGTTAAGCTGTCATCTGCAGTGCCAACATTCCACATAGGTGCTAGTTCTAGTCCCAACTGCTCCACTTCTGATGCAGCTCCCTGCTAACACGCCTAGGAAAACAGTGGAGGGCAACTCAAGTGCTTGGGCCTCTGCACCCACGTGGAAGACCAGATGAAGCTCTTGGCTCCGGCATGGCCCAAGCCCTGCTCCTTGTGGTCATTTGGTTGGTGAACCAGTGGATGGACGATCTCTCCTCTCTCTATGTCTCTCCCTCTCTTGCTGTAACTCTTTCAAATAAATATTAAGAGAGAGAGGATCAAAGTTGACCTGGATACTTTTTGTCTTGAATACTTGGGTGCACGGTGATGCCTCTTACTGAGATGTGGAAGCCTGGGGTGTGGTGTGTGGCAGAAATCAGTAATTCTATCTTGGCTATGTTGAGCTTAAAATCTCTGTTTGCATAGATGAATAAGACTACACAGGACTCTGGAGTTCAGATGAAATGTCAGGAATGGGAGGATAAACCTGAGAAGCTAAGGCTGGGAAACAGTATTTAGTCCATGACCTAGGGAAAGCTGTAGAAAGAGAAGATAACTGGGATCTTCAGCACTCTGTCCTGGGCCTCAAAAAGAGGTCTTGGATGAACAGAACAGCCATGAAGGCAAGTGAGAGGGAACGTGCACCAAGGAAAAAGCCAAGACAAAGACCACAGCCAAGAAACAGCCACTAGATTTGGCCAAAAGGTTTCTGATGACCATGACCAGAGCTGTTTTGCTAGAACAAGAAGGAATGCTTGAGGAAATTATGGGGAGTAGAGGTCACAGTTCTTAAGAAATTTTGCTAAGGAGGGAAATAGAAAAATGAGCTAATGATTAGAGAAGAATTTTTTTAAAAGATTTATTTATTTTTATTTGAAAGTCAGAGTTACACAGAGAGAAGGAAAGGCAGAGAGAGAAAAAGAGAGGTCTTCCATCCACTGGTTTACTCCCCAATTAGCCACAATGGCCAGAGCTGGGCTGATCCGAAGCCAGGAGCCAGGAGCCTCTTCCAGGTTTCCCACGCGGGTACAAGGGCCCAAGGACTTGGGCCATCTTCTATTGCTTTCCCAGGTCATAGCAGAGAGCCTGCTCAGAAGCGGAGCAGCCGGGACTCAAACCAATGCCCAAATGAGAACTAGCACTGCAAGGGGCAAGGGGTGCCTTCACCCGATACGCCATAGCGTCGGCCCCAGAGAAGAATATTGAGATAGCGGAGGGTTCTTTTTTTTTTTTCTTTTTTTTTCTTTTTTTTTTTGTGGGAATATATTTTATGATGAGAACAGTTTAGTAGAAAGGGAAAAAGGAGAGAGGCAGGAAAAAAGCTGTAAGGACCAAATCCTTGAGGTGAGTAAGGGTGAGCTCTAAAAGCCAAACAGAGAAATCTTAACAATTTGAACAGAAATAATGTGAGGTTAAGTGTATGAGTACAAATTGCAGATAAGATAGATTTGGTGGTGATAAAGTGGCATTACCATTACATTGCTTCTATTTTCTCAATGAAATATGAAGCAACCAAGATCAAACTGAGAAGATTTAAAAATAGAAAAGAAAATTAGTTGTTTTAGCAGAGGGAAAAATCTGACCTACCAGGGAAGTATGATAAGATTGTTAGGTACTAGTGAATGCCCATCTGAGATTCGTAGCTATAAATTGAAAGTGAAACAAGGACACACAGTTGCATTTAAACTGCTTAAATGCAGATACAGAATTTAACCAGGATTGAGGTTTTGCCAGGTGAATACAAGAGATGGGGGAACAAAGGAGGTAAGGGTATTTACAGGGGAATGATTATAATGATTGATCATGACTCTGAGCTGTAGTAAAGGAAGTCAGGATTTAAAGATGATAATGAATAACAAAAAAAAAAAAAAAAAGTCTTAAGGATGGATTAGCAACCCCAATGAGACCAAAGAACTTCTGAGGCGGAGTCCTAAAGTAAAGCTAAAACAGAAGGTAGCGGTCACAAAATAGGACCTTCAAAGTAGAGATTTCTACAGTGGTACAGTCATGAAGTGACAGTCAATAGACTATGGGAGGGGGTGACGGGTAGGGTAAAGGAAGAGATCATAGGAGGTTAAGAGTTGAGAAGTTAAGGATGACATAGGCATAGAAAAAAAAGATATGTGGGCCAACATTGTGGCACAGTACCTGCAATGCTGGCATTCCATATCAGTGTGCTGGTTCTAGTCCTGACTGCTCCACTTCCAATCCAGTTCCCTGCTGATGTGCCTAGGAAGGCAGCAGAAGACAGCCCCAAGCACTTGGACCCCTGCCATCCATGTGGAAAACCCAGATGGAGCTCCTAGCTTCAGCATGGCCCAGCCCTGACCATTATAGCCATTTGGAGAGTGAACCAGCAGATGAAAGACCTCTTTTTCTCTGTCTCTCCCTCTTTCTCTGTCACTCTCCCTTTCAAATAAATAAAGCTTTAAAGAAATGAAAATTAGCAAGCCAGGTGCTCAATCAATTGAATGAAAGGGAGAGACTGAAACGTCTGAGATGAGAATTGCTAGGGAGACTCGGAAAACACAGGAAAAAAAATTGAAGGATATGACTCTGAAAGAAGCCAGAATTTTCGAAGGAACGGGAAGAAAATGGTTTGGGATCAGCAACAAGAACAACCATCTTGTCAGCCTAGATTTTGGCTTCTTCTTTCCTTGTATCCCTCTTTGAAGCCAGGTTTCAATAATTATAAAGAATCCATATTTAGAGGCAGGCATTGTGGTATAGCAGGTTAAGCTACTGCTTGTGAAACCCGTATCCCATATCAGAGCACTGGTTCACATCCTGGTTGCTCTGTTTCCAGTCCAGCTCCCTGCTAATGCACCTGGGAGGCAGCAGGTGACAGCTCAAGTACTTGGGTCTCTGCCATGTACATGGGCGATCCAAATAGAGTTCCTGGCTCCTGGCTTCAACCTGGCCCAGACGTGACTGTTGCAGCCATTTGGGGAGTTTACCAGTGGATAGAAGCTCTCTCCCTTTCTCTGTAACTTTGACTTTCAAATAAATAAATAAAAACCATGTTTACGGGTGTGAGGACTTATAAGGGTACAAACCATACAGATGGAAATTTTAAGTTCAGAAACTAGATTCAGAGACCAGGTCAGGAAATCCTCAGAGGTCAATACTCCTTTTTAGCTATTTAGATCCCACCAAAACCTAACATGGGTCATTTTCTGGCCAGCTGAGGATAAAATGTACTTTAACCTTACTTCTGTATTCTCGCTGTAAGCTAGGATTTTCCCTTAAGTAAACAACTTTCACTTCAGACACCTCATTCTTTTTCTAGCTTATATTTAACTCTCCTGACCCATTTCTTTGTTGGGGTAAATTTCATTTTTTTAATACAAGCATTTTTGAAAGTTTTTATTAATTTATTTTTATTACTACTTATTTCACAGGCAGAGAGACATCTCCTATTTGCTCGTTCACATCCCAAAAGTGGAGGCTGAGGCAGGCTTAAGTTAAGACCCAAGAACTCAACCTGAGTTTCCCACTTGGGTGGCAGGGACCCAACTACCTGGGTTATCACCTGCTGCTTCCCAGGAGGTACATAATCAGGAGCTGGCATGGAGAGCAGGGCAGGAACTTGAACCCAGGCACTCCATACAGGACACTGGGGGGTCTCAAGCTAGAACTTAACCTTTGCCAAATACCTGCCCTGGTACCTATTTTTTAAAAACTTTGCTTTGCAGAAATCCCTCTCTCCTAGCCTACACACCTAAGTTCTGTCTTTCAATATATTATTTGAACCCTGAGCACTTTTGTCAATCTTGGAAGGCACTACTTGACGTAATAAATGAAGGCATTCCAAATTTACTAGTAATCTGTTTTACAAAAGTTGAGAGCTGAGCTACAATAGTAGGTTATTCTGGATATTCATATACAAAGAAACATTACTTTCTTCTTTCCTGATACAGATCCCAGTGAAATCTCTAAATGGATGAAATCTATCTTTAGATCCTCTCCCAAGTCTTCTCCTATGCCGTCTTTGCTCCCCCATCTTCTAATGCCTGACGTCCCGAGTGCCGTACTTTCTACTTCTTAGCCTACTCTGCTCTATCACCTTCCTCCAAGTACTCTAGCCTCCAGAATCAGAACTGCTTTCCATTTCCCAATTTACTGCAAAGCATCTCTTAATTAATTAATTTTTTAAATTTTATTTGAAAGTCAGAGTTACACAGAAAGAGAAAGAGGCACAGAGGGAGAGAGAGAAGGTCTTCCATTCTGCTGGTTCACTCCACAAATGACCACAATGGCCAGAGCTGAGCTGATTTGAAGCCAGGAGCCACTTCCAGGTCTCCCACGCGGGTGCAGGGGCCCAAGGACTTGGGCCATCTTCCACTGCTTTCTCAGACCATAGCAGAGAGCTGGATGAAAAGAGGAACAGCTGGGACTTGAACCGGTGCCCACATGGGATGTCGGCGCTGCAGGCCGGGACTTTAACCCCCTACGTCACAGCACCGGCCCCAAGCATCCCTTAACTTAGAAATAAGATATTGTCTTTGGGGTGGGCATCTGTCACAGCAGTTAAGATTCCACTTGGGATACCCACATCCCACATGGGAATGCCTGCGTTTGAGTCCTGGTTCTGCTTCTGGCTTTCTGCTAACTGGTATACCCTGGGAGGCAGTAGGTGATGGATCAAGTATTGCCAGCCACATGGGGGACCCAGACTGAATTCCAAAATCCTGGCTTTGGCCTGTTCCAGTCCTGGTTGTTGTGAGCATCTGGTGAACAAACAAGTAGATGAAAGATATGTCTGTCACTGTTTCTCAAGCAAACAAACCAAAAATATGAATAAAAAGATAATGTCTTACTGTCTTTTAAGAAAACAATAAAAATGGGGCCAGCATTGTGGTACAGTGGGTTAAGCCATCGCCTGCAACTCTGGCATCCCATTTGAGTCCGGCTGCTCCATTTCTGATTCAGCTCCCTGCTAATGCACCTGGGAAAGCAGCAGAAGATGGTCCAAGTGCTTGGGCCCCTGCAACCACATGGGAGACCCAGATGGAGTTGCAGTCTCCTGGCTTTGGCCTGGCCCAGTTCCAGCCATTGTGGTCATTTAGGGAGTGAATCAATGGATCTATCTCTCTATCTCCCTTTCTCCCTGTAACTCTGCCTTTCAAATAAATAAGATAAATTAGAAAAAAAAATAAAAAGAAATATAATTAAGTGACTGAGGTGTGACCAAGTATGTTAATCCATGTTAAGTCCTGGGAGGAATTTTAGACATAGTATCAAAGGTAAAGTTAAACAGGCAACATTAGGAAAAGAAATGAAGAGAAGGCATGTTATACCCACACATGCCAGTTGGGTGTCACAGCTGTGATTATTATTTTAGGGAAAATGAATTTATTCCTAGAGTTCAGAACTTTTCTTTCACTCCTGAACATGGACTGAGTCCTTTTCCCCTTGAGTTTTTGGGGAAGCAGCAATCAGGGTTCAGCTTATACACAGAGAGTCATAGGACAGTCACAGAAACACCACATAAAGCTACTAATAATGGGGCAGCTTTCCCCTGGCTTATCCTATAAGCACAACCTTCCCAAAACTAAGTTAAGCTACTTCCACAAACTTGAATTTGATCAGACACATACCTTCCCTTCGCTCTTTTAGTTTCTTCCGGAAAACTTCAGCCCGGATTTCTTCAAAGGAGAACTCCCCAACTCCCGCATAAATCTTCTCCTTACAGTACATCATCTTCTCTTTCTTCTCTCCAGACTCTTGCTGATGACTTTGAACCCTTTGCAGGGGGTCTCCTTCTTCCTTTCCAGGCTTTCTGGTGCTTAGAACATGGTTTATACTGGGTTCAATTTTACATGGGGTCCTAAAGAAGCAAAGTAACAACTGTTCACCATCAGGTTAAAAAAGTTATTTTGTACATATTTTGACCAAACACATAGACAATGTTAGTAACAAGACTATATATGGGGCCAGTGCTGTGGCAATGGGTTAATGCTCTGGCCTGAAGCGCCGGCATCCCATATGGGTGCCGGTTCGAGACCCAGCTGCTCCTCCTCCGATCCAGCTATCTGCTATGGCCTGGGAAAGCATTAGAAAATGGCCCGAGCGCTTGGGACCCTGCACCTGCATGGGAGACCCGGAAGAAGCTCCTGGCTTTGGACTGGCACAGCTCCGGCCATTACAGCCATCTGGGGTGTGAACCATTGGATGGAAGACCTCTCTCTCCACCTTCTCTCTCTGTGTAACTCTGACTTTCAAAATAAATAAATCTTAAAAAAAAAAAAAAAGACTATATATATGTAATCCATTTAAAAAATGAGATTAAGAGGCTAAAAATAACTTACAAGAGTAATTAATAATTATGTTCTGAGTACCCCATCTGTTAGGATGAGGGAGGGAATTAAATCAAAGTTAAGGTTGTCAAATATCTTATACTGCTTACAATAAATTTTGATACTACAATTTAACTCAGAGTATGAAAAGAAGTTTATCTGCATAATAAGGCAGTGCTTCACAATTTAGCACCCAAAATAGTTAAGAGTTAGGAATATAGCAATAGGGAAATGATGATAGGAAGTTCAAGGTTCCCTACTGAGGGTAATGGGTGAGTGACAGAGGACAAGCAGATGTTCTCATCTCACCTTATTAATATGCCTCTTCACAAGTACACTAAATCAGAGCCACTAAATCAGAACCTGTAACAGTAGGGTTTGAGCATTTTCATGCTTAAAAAAACTGCTCTAACTGTTCAACCTCATAAGGGACTTCTATGAGAAACCCACACTAGCACCATATTTCATGGTGAAAGACAGGATGTATTTCCTCAGGTCAAGAACAAGACAGAGACTTATTAATAAGACTTGCCACTTCCATTCAACACTGTACCAAAAATTCTAGCCAAGTCCATTAGGCAAGAAAAAAAATTAATAGGAGTCCAAATGGGAAGGAAGAAGTAAAACTATTTGCAAATGACATGAGCTTAGTTATAAAAAATCCTAAAGACTCACTAAAAAAATTGTTAAATAATGAGTTCATCAGAAGAATAAGATTAATATATAAAAATCATGTGTATTTTATACACTTGCAATGAACAATCTGAAAATGAAATTAAGATAACAATTCTGGGGGCTGGTGTTGTGGTGTGTTAAAACTGCCACCTGCCATACCAACACCCTGTATGGGCACCGGTTTGAGCTCCAGCTGCTCCACCTCCAATCCAGTTCTCTGCTCATGGCCTGGGAACACTGTGGAAAATGGTCCAAGAATTTAGGCCCCTGCCACCCACATGGGAGACCAAAATGAAGCTCCTGGCTCCTGGCTTCGGCCTCGCCCAGTCCCAGCCATTGCAGCCATGTGGGGAATGAACCAGCAAGTGAAGATCTCTCTCTCTCTCTTCCACTTGCTCTGTAACTCTTCAAAAAAACAAACAAACAAAAAAACCTCTACTTTATAAGCCGCTACCTGCAGAGCTGGCTTCCCAAATGGGCACCAGTTTGAGTCCCAGCTGCTCTACTTGTGATCCAGCTCCCTGTTAGCACAGCTGGGAAAGCAGCAGAAGATGGCCTAAATGCTTGGGCCCCTGCAACCATGTGGGAGACCCAGAGGAAGCTCCTGGCTCCTGGTTTCAGCCTGGTCCAGCCCCGACCGTTGCGGCCATTTAGGGAGTGAACCAGCAGATGGACGATCTCCCTCTATCTTTCCCTCTTTCTTTGTAACTGCCTTTCAAGTAAACAAACAAAACCCCCACATATAGAGTGAATCCTAATACAAACAACAGACTTTAGGGGTAGGTGTTGTAGTGCAGTGGGTTAGGCCACCATATAGAACACCTACATCCCATGTTGGAATGCCAGTTTGAGTCCCAACTGTTCTGTTTCTGATCCAGCTCCCTGCTAATTTGCCTGGACAGTAGCAGAAGATGGCTCAAGTGCTTGAACACCCTCCACCCGTTCTTGGCTCCTGGTTTTGGCCTCTTCAACCCTGGCTGTTACAGGCGTTTGGGGAATGAACCAGCAGATATAAGATCACTAACTCTCTATGTGTCTTCCTCTCTGTCACTCTGCTTTTCAAGTAAACAAATCTTTAAGAGAAAAACAACCATAGACTTTAGCCAGTAATAATGTGTCAATATTGGTTCATCAATTATATCAAATGTAACACACTAATAAAAGATGATGAGGCCGGCATTGTGGTATAGTGGGTAAAGCTCCCACCTGGGATGCTAGCTAGCATCCCATATGGGCACTGATTTGAGTCCCAGCTGCTCCACTTCCAATCCAGCTGCCAGATAAAGGCCTGGAAAAAGCAGTGGAAGATGGCCCAAGTGTTTGGGCCTCTGACGCTCATGTGGGAGACCTGGATGAAGCTTCTGGCTCCTAGCTCTGGACTGCCGCAGCCCCAGCCACTGCCACCATCTGGGGAGTGAACCAGCAGATGGAAGATCTCTCTCTCTCCCTCCCATGCTTTCTGTAACTCTGACTTTCAAATAAATAAATAAATTCTTTAAAAAAAATAAAAAGGTAAATTATATAAGGTTGGGGGAAGGGAGCATACAGGAACTTTCTGTACTACTCAATTTTTCTGTAAACCTAAAGATTATTTTAAAAATAAAGTCTACTGGGTCTGGGGATATGGCACAACAGGTTAAGCCACTGCCTGAATGCCCACATCCCATACATGCACCAGTTCAAGTTCTGGATGCTCCACTTCTAGTCCAGCTCCCTGCTAATGCTCCTGGGAAAGCAGTGGATCACGGCCCAAGTGCTTGGGCCCCTCCACCCATGTCGGGGAACTGGATGAAACTCCTGGCTTTTGCCTTGCCCCTCCCCAACCACTGAAGCCATGTGGGAAGTATACCAGTGGATGGAAGATCTGTCTTTTCTTCTATCTGTAACTCTTTCAAATAAATAAAAAATAAATCTTCAAATAAAATAAAGTCTATTAATTAAAAGAAAAGTACAAGACATAGTCTGAAAACTATAAAATATAATTGAAAGGAATTAGAGAAGACATAAATGGAATGATACCCCATGTTCAAGGATCAGAAGACTTAATATAACATTAATTCAAGTGACCTATAGATTCAACAGAATCCCTAGTAATTTATTTTTCAATTCATATATATTTTTTAAAGAGTTAATTATTCATTTTAAATGCAGAGTTACAGAAAAAGAGGAAGAGAGAGGGAGAGAAAAAGAAAGTGAGAGATCTTCTATCCACTGGTTCACTATCTATATTGCTGCAACAGCTGAGGCTGGGCCACACTAAAGCCAGGAGCCTGGAATTCCACCTGGGTCGCCACATGGGTACAGGAGCCCAAGGACAGGAATTAAAGAGTAGGCCGGCGCTGCGGCTCAATAGGCTAATCCTCCGCCTGCGGCGCCGGCACACTGCGTTATAGTCCCAGTCGGGGCGCCAGATTCTGTCCCGGTTGCCCCTCTTCCAGGCCAGCTCTCTGCTGTGGCCCAGGAGTGCAGTGGAGGATGGCACAAGAGCTTGGGCCCTGCACCCGTATGGGAGACCAGGAAAAACACCTGGCTCCTGGCTTCGGATCAGCGCTGTGTGCTGGCCGCAGCGGCCATTGGAGGGTGAACCAACAGTAAAGGAAGACCTTTTTCTCTGTCTCTCTCTCTCTCTCTCATTGTCCACTCTGCCTGTCAAAAAAAAAAAAAAGAAAAAAAAAAAAAGAGTAGGAAGACACAGCCACTGACCAGAAGGAAGTCACACTCCAGTAGGCAGGGAAAAATAAGAAAGGCTGTGACAGACAGTAAACACAGCAACCCAGAGCACATGGTAAACCACAGCAGAATGATTCCAGGAGCCGGACCCAGATGGGCAAGAATGGTAGGAAGCACTTCCCAAAAGGATGTCTAGAGGGGCTGACATCTGAGTAAAGGCCTAAAGGAGGCATAAGAATCAGTCTGCTGGAAGAAGTGGGTAAGGGTAGCTTTGAAGCTATTCCAGATTCATGAACTTATGGTCTACTGTGACCACTGCGAAAACTGGAGATGTTGGCAGAGGCCAAGTCTCAGACTGCTGAGTTTGGGCTACATCTGAAAGGTTATGGGGAACTAGCAGGAGATTCTCACCTTGAAGACAACACAATCATATGTGCACTTTAGACCTGCAATAGCCTAGAGAATGGATAAGAGAACTAACAACAGATGGGGACAGAAAAGAAAAAAAAAAAAAACCTGCTAAATTCAATTATATAAAATCTAAAATTATTTATAACAGTTATTGCTACATAAGGTAAAAAAAAAAGTGACAAATTGGGAGGAGGGGAGATATTTGTAATTCCTATTACAGATTTTAACTGGTTTTCTTATCTATGAAGAGTTCCTACACATCATTAAGAAAAGTAAAAACCTAAAGAAAAATGTGTTAAAGGAATCAAACACTCAGAAGAAAGAATTTAAATACATTTTAACATTTCCTATACCACATTAATATTTGACATAATCCATGTTCCTGCAAAACAATTTGAAACTTCAGAAAAATTAAGCATCTATAAATGTCATGCTATTAATTTTTATAAAGGTTCATATGATTTTCTTAAAAAGAGCTTCCCTTGTCTTGAATCTCTAATCAGATAGAATATGCTCAAATTTTTCTTTATTTTTGCACTCCTATTATTACGTGGCATAAAGTAGGGGTTATAAAGTTGTTATGAGGAGCTGGTGCTGTGGCGCAGCTGGTTAAAGTCCCAGCCTACAGTATCAGCATCCCATACAGGTGCCAGTTCACATCCAGCCACTCCACTTCTGATCCAGCTTCTTGCTAATGCACCTAGGAAAGCAGTGGAGGATGACCCAAGTGCTTGAGGCCCTGTCACCATGTGGGAGAACCAGAAGAAGCTCCTGCTTTAGCCTAGCCTAGTCCCGGTCGTTGCGGCCATTTGGGGAATTTACTAGCAGATGGAAGAACTCTCTTTCTCTCTACCTCTCTCTGTAACTGCCTTTCAAATAAATAAAATAAATATATATTTTTAAATATTTATTTTATTTATTTGAAAGGCAGAGTTACGGGGAGGGAGGGAGGGAGGGAGGGATGGAGGAGGGAGGATGAGGTCTTCCATCACTGGCTCACTCCCCAGATGGCTGCAATGGCTGCAGCTGGGCTGATCTGAAGCCAGGAGTCTGGAGCTTCTTCTGGGTCTCCCATGCAGGTGCAGAGGCCCAAGGACTTGCTTTCACAGGCCATAACAGAGAGCTGGATCAGAAGTGGAGCAGCCAGGACTCAAACCGGCGCCCATATGGGATTCTGGCACTGCAGGTGGCAGCTTTACCAGCTATGCCATAGGGCTGCCCCAAAATAAATCTTTAAAAAATAAAAATTAAGTCATTATTAGGAAACTATTGCAATGGGACTCAGAATTCAACCAAATATTTAGAATTCAGCCATGTTAAATATTAGATTAAATCTCAGACTGGCTTGATTAACCACACCTATGATACTTTTTCGTAGAGACAGAAATGCTAAGAGTTAGAAAGAAGGGAAAAAGATGTCCAGAGGAAAAAACAGGCAGGTTAAATAGGAAAATGATTGTAATTTCTAATTACTGTCAATAACAAAAGCAGAACATCTCATTTAAATCACAGTAATTATCTTTCCTACAGCAATATAAATATAAACCTAATAAATCAGTTTATTTCTTAATAAAAGGATGAACAAAACTTTGAGTACTTTCATTCTTACCAAGAAGAAAATGCCTTTGGGAATGAGGATAGGTGCCTGTGCCCACCTTTAGTAATTCTCTTTTTAAAGTATCTGGAATTCAGAGGTAGGCATTTGGTATAACCATTAAGATGCTGCTTGCGGCACCCACATCCTGTATCAGAGGGCTTTGTTTGAGTCCTAGCTCTGCTTCTGATTCCAGCTTCCTGCTAGGGAGTACCTTGAGAGACAGCAGGTGATGGCTCACTTAGTTTAGCTCCTGTCACACACATGGGAGACATGGATTAAGTTCCCAGCTCCTAGCTTCAGCATGGCATGGTCCCAGCTGTTGATGACACTTAGGGAGTAAACTAGAATGGGATATCTTTGTATGTTTTTCTGTCTTAAAAAAAAAAATCTGGAACTCAAACTTACATAACGGGTTGTTGTGCAGTCTCTTCCACATATGGAGTAAAACTGGGACGCACAGGGGGCCCAACTGTCACAAAAGCTGTATTATCATGAGGCTAAAGATGAAGAAGAAAATTAAAATTATCATAGTTTTACATTCTAACACAGCATATGCCGACCAGGCCTAAATATTCAAGAGGAATTAAAACACTCTTTTACTCTAAATCTGATGTGTTAGGTTGGCAGATAAATACACTGGATCTAAGAGTCCTTACCTTGTTTTGCAAGGGCCTGTCTATGTTCCAAGGGCCTGCTTGCAGCTCATTTTCTTTGGCCCTGGCCACAGGGCGTGCTGTCCATGGCTGGACTGCAGGCTTAGACAACTCTGCTAGAGAAGCCTCACCCGTGTTTTCATCAAAAACAGTAATTCTACAATTACTTTGCATATGTTGAGGAACCGGATTTTGAAGTCCTCTGTTCTGGCTTGGAGCTAGGAAAAAAAATAAAACTACATGTAAAATATTTAATTATTAACTTAGATGACAGATAATTTAAATCTATTCTTCCTCAAATCAAGAATACTTACATTTTTACCATCACAGAACTGAAAGATTTCTTAAAAAAAAATTAAGCCGAACAAGTCCTGTTTTTATCTACTCTGTTGCTTATGCTCACGAGCTGCTAACTGAAAGAAGACATGTAGTAATATGGTAGGCACTTCAAAGCCTGCATGCACCAAAGCCTCAGAGAACGATGTCGACCTAGTTAAAAATTCTTTCACCAGCCTTTTAGGGCCAGAAGTTGGACTATTTGTATAGTCAAAAATGATCAACAATAAGCATTTTAAAAAAATTAACAATGACCATTTTTTAGAGCAGGTTCAGGTTCACAGAAAAATTGAATAAAAGGTACAGAGAACAATAAGCTATTTGAAAAGCAGAGCATCAGAGAGAGAGCTCTTCCATCTACTGGCTCACTGCCCAAATGGCCATAATAGTCGGGGCTGGGCCAGGCTGAAGCCAGAAGCCAGGAACTCCATCCTGGTCTTCCACATGGGTGGCAGGGGCCCAAGCACTTCCCTGTATTAGCACGGAGCTGACTGGGAAGTAGAGCAGCCAGGACTCCAGCCAGCTCTCTGATTTGGGATGCTGGCACCCTAGCAGCAAAATTTAACCCACTGCACCACAGTGCTAACACCCCTCCAAATGTCTCAAGGCATCCTAACAACTTGAATCAGGTCTTTACTTAAAACACAAAACCACTGATGGGCTTTGATTTTACTGCACACTGTATATTAGCTCTCCTTTGACACTTTTCTTTCTATTACCCAGTTCTCAGAAAATTATGACTCTGTCTACATGTATATTTATGCATTATCTGCTTACCTAATCTGCCTATCACCAGAGACTAAGGGTTTTCCAAAATGACATTTAACAAACTTACCCTTGAGAGCACCTCCGACACGGCTGACTGGTGCTCTTGCCGTCTTTTTCCCTTTGCTCTTCAGCTCTGCCAGTGTGCTTCGCTGTGGTACAGAAGCTCCAAAAACTTCCTCCTCATCCTCCTTCTCAAGTGCCAGCAGAGTCTGTCGAGACACCCGAGCTTGGAATTGTCTGAAGTGAAAGAACGGACAGTGAATCTTTGGTGAAATGCTCACTACTCACCAGCCTCAAAATGTCTAATTTGTTAAAGTAACCAAGTGCGGCTGGTGCTGCGGCGCAGTGAGTTAAAGCCCCAGCCTGCCGGGCCGGCATCCCATATGGGCGCCAGTTCAGATCCCGGCTGCTCCTCTTCCGGTCAAGCTCTCTGTGATGGACTGGGAAAGCAGTAGAAGATGGCCCAAGTCCTTGGGCCCCTGCACCCACATGGGAGACCTGGAAGAAGCTCCTGGCTTCTGGCTTGGGATTAGCTACTCTGGCCATTGCAGTCATTTGGGGAGTGAACCAGTGGAATGGAAGACCTCTCTCTCTCTCTGGCTCTACCTTTCTGTAACTCTGTCTTTCAAATAAATAAAAAAAAATTTTCTAAATAAATAAAGTAACTAAACAAAGGAAAAGAACAGGCTGGGAGAAGACAAATAGGAATATTCTGAAGAAAGCGTTTCTTTTCTTAGGAAGAGAGGGAGCCACCATGAGATCACACAAAGTTTGAGCTAGAAGAGTTTGAGCTCCTCACTTAAATATCGAAGTTTGACCAATTAAAAATATTCTAAACATTTTCATTATGATTATAAAATTTATATATTATTTCCCATTACCTTTTTAATTGTAAATTTTAAAAAATGACATAATAGTTGAAAGAGTAAATGAGTACCCATGTACCCTTCACCTAGACTCAAACATGAACATTCTGTCATATCCATTTTATCACATCTCTTTCCCATTCTTCCTCTTTCCACACACACACACACACACATTTTCCTGACCGACATGACATGAAGTTGCACACAACATGACATCTAACTTTAGCAAAGCTCGCAGAAGTTTGAAAACTAAACTTCCTGTGCTGCTGCCAGTTTTAAGAATTATCAGAAGGAAAAAAAAAAAAAAAAAAAAACAACTTGCTGACCAAGATGGAGTAAGCCTACTGTAGCCTCCCTCTTTCTCTCTTACTCATTAGAATTAAAAACTCTAGACAACATACCAAAAACATAACTGAGGGCTCTGAAAAGTAAACAAAAGCAAACGGACTGTGGAGAGAAGTCAAAACTTGAAACAACCCACGCGGGGTTGTTTCCTGTTTCTTTTTTCTTCTGTTTTCTCTTGTGGGTTTGAACTGCTATAATGGGGGTATGGAAATCTAAAACTCCTAGAGAAACCCCCCCTCTTTCTGGCCAGAGGTCTGGGAAAGGGAGACTCTAAGGGACAAAGAGTATGGGAGAAATAATGAAGAGGAGTGGGGTGAGAAAGGGAATCTTCTGATTCCACACATGAATTAGCACAAGTTCTGGGCCCACTCCTGAGATAACTATGCACAGGGTAGATTCAAAGCAGCACAGAAAAGGGCCAGGAGACCTGAACTATGACATAAATCACTGCCCAAGTGCAACTAAACCTCAGGCACAACACACACGGGAGAGGACCAAAGCAGCATATCACAAATCTTAAAATTGAACTGACATTGGAACAAAAAAGCACTTGTGATACCCAAAGTTTGGCTGTTTACTCAGTTAAAACAACAACATTCAGGACTCAGTCTAATAGGATAGTATCAAGATTATATGTTCAGGATACAATTCAAAATTACTTGACACCAAGGATGAAGAAAATGCGACCAGTTCTCAATCACAGGAGTAGATGCTGGAAAAGAGGGTTAAGCCTAAGTGGCTGCTTGGGACATTGGCTTCCCATATCAGAGTGCGGGTTCGACTCCCAGCTATTCTACTTTTTTCCCAGCCTGGCTTAAGTCCAAGCTGCACTGCTTCCTGTCCAGCTGCCTGCTAATGTGCCTGGGAAGGTAGCACAAAATGTCTCCAGTATGTAGGTCCCTGCCACTCATATGGAAGACCCAGATGGAGTTCCTGGCCCCTGGCTTCAGCCTGGGCCAGCCCTAGCTGTTGTGGCCATTTGGAAAGTGAACCAGTGGATGGAAGATCTTGTTCTTCCTATCTCTCCCTTTCTCTAATCAAGCAATCTTAAAAAAAAAAAAAAAAGAAAAAGAAAAGAAATGATAAAGGGACCTATACAGTTATAAAGCTTCTATATTTTACTTGATGTGGTAAAATATAAGTATATTATATAACCTAGAGCAACCAATTAAAGAAAAAAGGCAAAGAGCAGGCCTTTGGCACAGCAGTTAAATCACCGCTGCGGTTGCCCACAACCGTATATTAGAGAACCTGTATTCATGTCCCACTCAGCTCTCCCTTCTCGCTGCTGCTGCTGCTTTTAAGATTTATTTATTTGAAAGGCAGGGTTACAAAGACAGAGAACTTCTATCTGCTGCTTCAGTACCCATTTGGTTGCAATGGCCAAGGCTGGGCCAGGTCGAAGCCAGGAGCCAGGAGCTTCTTCTGGGTCTCCCACATGGATGGCAGGGGCCCAAGGATTGGGCCATCTTCCACTGTTTTCTCCATGCCATTAGCAGGAAGCTGGATCAGAAGTAGAGCAGCCAGGACACAAATTGTCAATCATATGGGATGCTGGCATTGCAGGTGGCAGCTTAACTCACTATGCCACAACACCAGCTCCCAATCCAAGTTCTTGCTAATGCACATCCTGGTGGGCAACAGGTGATGGATCAAATATCTGGGTCCCTGCCATTCATATGGGAGATCCACACTGAATACCAGGATCCTGATTTTGAGATCTCTCTGTCTCAGTCACTCTGCCTTTCAAGACAAAAATAAACATTTAAAAAGAAAGAAGGAGGGGCCAGCGCAGTGGCACAGTAGGTTAATCCTCCACCTGCGGAGACAGCATCCCATATAGGTGCTGGATCTAGTCCCGGCAGCTCCTCTTCCAATCCAGCTCTCTGCTGTGGCCTGGGAGGGCAATGGAGGATGGCCCAAGTCCTTGGGCCCCTGCACCCACATGGGAGACCAGGGAGAAGCACCTGGCTCCTGGCTTCAGATCGGCACAGCTCCGGCCATTGCGGCCACCTGGGGAGTGAACCAGCGGATGGAAGACCTTTCTGTCTCTCCCTCTCACTGTCTAACTATCTCTCAAATAAATAAAAATCTTAAAAAAGAAAGAAAGATACGTAAACAAAGAAAGCTGGAATGGATGTATTTATATCAGACCAAGCAGACTTTAGAACAAGGAGACTGTGAATAAAAGGGGACATCATATAATGAAGAAGAGGTCAATTCTAAAAGAACTTCAAATACATTAAGCAAAACTGACAGGGCTGAAAGAAGAAACAGACAAATCACAATTAAAGAGTCTTCAAAGCTCCTCTCAGTTGCTAGTAGAACAAGCAAACAGAGTCAGCAAAGATACAGAACACCAGAGAAGCACCAATCAGCTTGACCTAAATGACATTTACAAAATACTGCACTGCAAAACAGCTAGTACCCATGTATTTTTCAAGTGCACATGGAACATTCACCAAAATAGATCATATTGTGGGTGATGAAACAAACTTTAACAAGCTTACAAGAACTGATCATACAAATATTCTCTGACTACAGTGGAATCCAAAAAATTTCAAAATCAAATAATTCATTTCTAAATAAACAATAGGTTAAAAGGAAGACACAAGAGAAATTAGTACATATTTTGAACTGAATGAAAATGAAAATACAGCTTATCAAAACTTGCAGCTAAAGCAGTGACTAAAAGGAAACTTAAGGCATGAAATACTTAGAAAAGGAGAAAGGTCTTTAATCAATGACCCTATGCTTTCACCTTAAATAACAAAAAGAGCAAGTTGTACCAAAGCAAGAAGAAGGAAGTGAAGAGCAGAAATAAAATTAAGAACGAAAAATCACTAAGAGAAAAGCAGTCAATCCAAAAGCTGCTTTCAATAAAACTGATAAACTTGTGGCCAGACTGAGAAAAGAAGGAAAGCCACATATTACCACTACCAGGAATGAAAGGGGGAAATATCACTATATAACCTGCAAGTGTAAAATAATAAAAGAATATTATGAACAACTCTATGTCCACAAACAAAATGAATTTGAATGAAATGGATCAATTCCTTAAAAGACAAAATCTACCAAAACTCACTAAAAGAAATCAAAAAAAATAAATACAGAAATATATGGGGCTCATATGCAATACTAATCAAAACCTCAGGAAGTTTCTTCTAAGACTTACATAGAAAGTCAAAGGAATTGGGGCTAACACTATGGTGTGGGTAAAACCACAGCCTGTGGCACTGGCATCCCATATGGTTGCCAGTTCAATTCCCGGCTGCTCCACTTGCAACCCACCTCCCTGCTAATGTGCTTGGGAAAGCAGAGGAAGATGGCCCAAGTGTTTGGGCCCTTGAACCCACATGGAAGGCCAAGAGGAGGTGCTTTGTTCCTGGCTTCTGACAGGGTCAGCTCCAGTCATCTGGGGAGAGAACCAGCAGATAGAAGACCTCTCTCTATCTCTCCCTCTCTCTGTAACTCTTATCAATCAATCAATCAGGAAGGAAGGAAGTCAGTCAGTCAAAGGAACAGGAAGAGCTACAAGTAAGAAATTTGGAGTGGGCATTTGGCACAATGGTTAGGATGGTGCTTAGAACACCCACCTCTCATATAAGAGAGCCAGTCCTGGTTCCACTTCCAACTCTAGCTTCCTGCTAACGCACAAGTACCTGAGTCCCTGCCACCCATGTAGGAGACCTGGATTGAGTTTCGGGCTTTTTTAGCTTGGGCCCACAGCTCTAGCTGTTACAAGTATTTGGGGAGTAAACCAGAGGTTTGAAGATCTCTGTCAGACTCTGTCTTTCTTTACCTCTCAAATAAACGCAAATTAAAAAAAATTTTGGAGATAAAATTTTTTAAAGAGAAAAAATACTTGAGAAAATCTTTATGACCTTTGGATAGACAAAAAAGTTCTCGGATATAGCACAACTCACACAAGAAAAAATGGATAACTAGATTTCTTCAATATTAAAAATGTTTATTCTATAAATGGCGATTGAGAGAATAAATAGACCAGGCTTAAGGTAGGAGGAAATGTTTACAAATCACCAATCTGAATTTTGCAATTCAAATGTATTATGATAAGTCAAAGAAGTCACATTGAAAAGGCTATATAACTATAATCTAGAAAAAGCAAACCTATAGGGCTAGAGAATAGATCAGTGTTTGCCAGGGGTTCAGGGTAAAAGTCAGTACTGTCTACAAAGGGACTGCATGAGAAAATTCTTTTATGGGCACCAGTTCAAGTCCTGGTTGTTCTACTTCTGATTCGGCTCCCTGCTAATGTGCCTGGGAAAGCAGTGGAAGATGGCTCAAGTGCTTGGGCCCTGGCCAACTATAAGGAAGACCTGGATGAAGTTCCTGTCTCCTGGTTTCAGCCCAGCTCAGCCCCAGCCTTTGCAACCATTTGGTGAGTGAACCAGCGGATGGAAAATATCTCTCCCTCACACTCTCTCTGTAACTCTGCTTTTCTATTAAATAGTAAAATCTTTTAAAAAAGAAAATTCATAGAACTGTACAACAAAGCCTGGATTTTACTTCAGTAAATAATAATTTTAAAATATCTTTTAAAAAATTTAATGGTAACTAAGTAAACTTAATTTGCAAATCCATCAGAGTACTGTATTCAGATGCAAAAAGTTCATTTATTTCTCTCCATTTTGTTTTTCTGACAGGCAGAGCGGACAGTGAGAGAGACAGAGAAAGGTCTTCCTTTTTCTGTTGGTTCACCCTCCAATGGCTGCTGCGGCCGGTGCACCACGCTGATCCGAAGCCAGAGGCAGGTGCTTCCTCCTGGTCTCCCATGCAGGTGCAGGGCCCAAGTACTTGGGCCATCCTCCACTGCACTCCTGGGCCACAGCAGAGAGCTGGCCTGGAAGAGGGGCAACCGGGACAGAATCCAGCGCCCCAACCGGGACTAGAACGCGGTGTGCCGGCGCCTCAGGCGGAGGATTAGCCTAGTGAGCCGCGGCGCCAGCCTCTATCCATTTTAAAAGGGTAAGACAAACTGCAGAGAAGCAGCTTACCGGTGCTGGGACTGTAGTCTGTCCAGTGGTTCAGCCCTGCGCTGAATTCCTTCCTGAAATATCATATCCGCTTTCTTAAAGTTTTCTCGAGCTTCATACTCTTCAGCCCATGAGATATAGAACTGAGCAAGTGAAATGCCAATCTCTTGGCTGTGCAAATAGCTGTACATATCCAAAGGCTCATTGCATAAGTGCCCCTGTAACAAATGGAAAATGTTAACAGTAAACCAATTTATGTTTGCTCATTTTGTGCCAAACCATCAATACGTATTAAAGGAAATACATCTATTATTACATAATACATTATGTATCATACTGGGATGCTGCAAAAAAGAAATAAAAGTCAGAGATTAACTTGTAATAAAAGGGGATATAGAGGAAAGGCTTTAAGAAAGGGTGCCAGGGCTGACCCTGTGGCACAGAAGGTTAAAGCTCTGTCCTTGGGTTTCTGCACCCATGTGGAAGTCCCAGAAGAAGCTCCTGGCTCCTGGCTCCAGAATGGCTCAGCTCTGGCCATTGTGGCCATTTGGGGAGTGAACCAGCGGATAAGACCTCTCTCTCTCTAGGCCGGTGCCGCGGCTCACTAGGCTAATCCTCCGCCTAGCGGCGCCGGCACACCAGGTTCTAGTCCCGGTTGGGGCGCCGGATTCTGTCCCGGTTGCCCTTCTTCCAGGCCAGCCCTCTGCTGTGGCCAGGGAGTGCAGTGGAGGATGGCCCAGGTGCTTGGGCCCTGCACCCCATGGGAGACCAGGAGAAGCACCTGGCTCCTGGCGCCTGCCATCGGATCAGCGCGGTGCGCCGGCCGCAGCGCACCGGCCACGGCGGCCATTGGAGGGTGAACCAACGGCAAAAGGAAGACCTTTGTCTCTCTCTCTCACTGTCCACTCTGCCTGTCAAAAAAAAAAACAAAAACAAAAACCTCTCTCTCTCTCTCTCTCTGCAAACTCTGCCTTTCAAATAAATAAACTAAATCTTAAAAAAAAGGAGAGGGGCTGCCATTTGAGCCTGACTTTGAAGAAATAGGCTTTCATCAGGTAGAGAATGGAAAGGAAAGGGCATTCTAGCCAGAGAAATAGCACAGGCAAAGATACAGAAGAGTGAAAGTATACAGGGGTTCAGGTAAAACAGGAGTGGAGAAAAAGGTTGGGACAGATCTTGAATATCAAACTAATAAATGTTTGAATTTACCCAACAGGAAATGTCTGTGTGGTGGGACCAGAGAGCTATAAGCAAAAGAATGGTCAAATCTGAATTTTTCTTAGGACTTTGTAAGACCAGATACAATTCAGTAATTCTAAGGGCCGGCACTGTGGTGTAGCGGTTTAAGCTGCTGCCTGTAGTGCCAGCATCCCATATGGGTGCCAGTTCGAGTACCAGCTGCTCCTCTTCCAATCCAGCTCACTTTTATGGCCTGGGAAGGCAGTAGAAGATGGCCTAAGTCCTTGGGCCCCTGCACCCATGTGGGAGACCCAGAAGAAGGCTCCTGGCTTCGGATCGGCCCAGCTCTGGCCATTACAGCCATTTGGGAAGTGAACCAATGGATGGAAGACCTCTCTTTCTCTCTACCTCTGCCTCTGCCTCTGCCTCTCTGTAACTCAGCCTTTAAATTAATGAATAAGTCTTATAAAAAAAAATTCTAGTAGCAAGAGGGAGGAATTATCACTAAAAACTCCATAATGTAATCATTTTGATACAATTCTTTAGTAGTTTTTTTAAGGAAAAAAGGACATATTTCATATATTTTGATTATAACAAAATTTGCTTTTTCTCTACTTAACATTACATCATTCATTTTTCCATGCTGCTGGAAAGTCTTCACTATTATTTTAAACACATGCATAATGTTCTGTCTAGAAGAGCTGCCATAATGTAATTCTTCCTCTTCTGGATAGTTAAATCACTTCTAATTTTGCTCACTTATAAATAATTCTATTTTATCTTCCTACATATACTTTTCTCATTTTACATCACTCCCTTAAATAAATTCCTAGAAATACAGCTATGCTGAAAGTAACAAATTGCTCTCTAGGAAGGTTGTGCCAAAATTTAATAATTTACAAGAAATACTAGTTTCACCAGACCCTTATCAGCATTTGAAATTTCATATAAAAATGGCACTTCCGTGTTCTAATTAGGAATTCTTTTACTACAAGAGGCTACCTCTTCTCCTGCTGTTTTACTGGATGTCTTTTCTCTCCTAACTACCAGTTCCTCACTGTCTGGGCCTAAGGTAAGTGCTCAGTGTGTGTGTTGCCAGGAACTCCGTACTTGTTACACTTAAAAGTAATGGCTTGGGGCCAGGGCTGTGGCGCAGTGGGTTAACACCCTGGCCTGAAGCACCGGCATCCCATATGGGCGCCAGTTCGAAACCCAACTGCTCCACTTCCAATCCAGCTCTCTGCTATGGCCTGGGAAAGCAGCAGAAGATGGCCCAAGTCCTTGGGCTCCTACACGCACATGGGAGACCTGGAAAAAGCTCCTGGCTCCTGGCTTCGGATCAGCGCAGCTCCAGCCATTGTGGCCAATCAGGGAGTGAACCAGCGGACAGAAGATCTCTCTCTCTGCCTCTCCTCTCTGCGTACTCTTTCAAATAAATAAATAAATATTTTTTTTAAAAAAAAAAGTAATGGCTTAACTCTGTCTTCACCAATAAAGTAAGCTCCACAAAAGCAGAAAACATCACTATCTACCACGTCTTAATCTCTAGCCAGGGTCTAATAAAACAAATACTGAATAAATGAAACATTCTATTTGTATCTCTGACACAATTTATATTCTTTTTTTTTTTTTGACAGGCAGAGTGGACAGTGAGAGAGAGAGACAGAGAGAAAGGTCTTCCTTTGCCGTTGGTTCACCCTCCAATGGCCGCCGCTGCAGCCGGTGCACCGCGCTGATCCGATGGCAGGAGCTAGGATCCAGGTGCTTTTCCTGGTCTCCCATGGGGTGCAGGGCCCAAGCACCTGGGCCATCCTCCACTGCACTCCCTGGCCATAGCAGAGAGCTGGCCTGGAAGAGGGGCAGCTGGGACAGAATCCGGTGCCCTGACCGGGACTAGAACCCGGTGTGCCGGCGCCCCCAGGAAGAGGATTAGCCTATTGAGCCACGGCGCCGGCCACACACTTATATAGTGTCTAATAGCTTAAATTTTT